CCAGGCATGTCCATCAGTTGAAGTCTCGACGGCACTCCTGGCCAGCGGCACTGACAGTGTGCTGAAGACAGCCAGCCACAGGCTACATCACTCCCACTGCGTACACTCAAAACATTCAACAAAATATGGAGTAGGGCCTAAGGAAGGGAGCTTTGGGCTGCTCGCCCGCGTGGTACGATGGTCAGTACTGCTAGCTAATACATCGGCGGCGGCCGAGATGCCCATCAAAGTAAAACAAAAATCACTTCTTCTAACTCGTGCATTGCACGATAAAAAAAAAAGTGAGGGAAGCAGAGTGCAACACCTCAACGCCACAATCCACCTAGTAGTGCCACGTGCGACAGGCGGCTGCGCTTAGCCTTACGCCTAATGAATCACTTGAAAACAACCGTCATCCACCAAGCACCCAGCCTAGGTGTAGAAGAGGCAGCCGCAAGGAGACATACCAGTTGGCTGCACGCGGCCGTTGACAGGTTCTGTGAACAGGTTCCGCATTCATTATTGGTACACACTAATTTTAGGGGCGTAGAGGCATACATGTTCTGTTTATACATAATCATACACTGCAATGCCTGGCAAACTGTGCTATTTGGGGTGACCTTTTATTTACATCCATTGTAACTGCACATAAAGTAATGACTCACCTTTGATGGGCAGGTTCCCATGGGTGCCTTGAAATAAAAGATGCAGCGGCATTACTCACTAACTTCCTCTATGTGAAATCTAATATTCGAATCAAAATACAGGAACAAAACTACAGTTTTATACTTAGTCACATCGAAATAAAATGAACAGAGACATTAAACAAGCTTTTTGTTCTTTTATGGACCAAGGTGGGGGTGGGTTCATTATACGAGCGGGTAAATTGGGAGAGTAAATACGGTAGCTAACCTTTCTGTCATTGTGGACAATGGTCAAAATTCAAAGAGGCATCAGAGTGCACTCTAAAAATAGCAAAATTTCTCATGTATATTTCCTAATGCACATTGAATCAAACTAACAGCAAACAGTGGCAGTGCGTCAGCACACTGGTATAGCTGTTCATATAATGGTTGTCAGTATCGGTTCTGCGAAGGTAAAATTACAGAAGCAATCGTGTTTATAGTGCATCTCATCCACAAAGAACACATACGCACCTGAAGAGGAGGAGTTTTGCATGGACATGGTCGCAAATGGAAGGTACTATCAAGGCAGCATTCTAACAGCCCTTATCTCTGGTGCGTCAAAGATAGTGAATTGTGTATTCGGCGCACCACTCAAGTTTATCGAATGAGCTTGTTGATAGTATTTTATTTCACGATATACAGAGATACAACATGTGTGCATTTTTTTTTTCAACCTTGACATGACCTAAATACTGGAGATTCATCTCTGACTTACTATTTGTTGTGCTTTTCTTTTTGTTCTTTAACTTTTTTTCAGCCATATGGATTGCAAAAGGCTTGTGCTGTGTCGTTGGATATTGTGCAGCTGAGGCGCGCAGAATAGCCCGAGCCGCAAAGCATCGAAGGCAAAAGAGTTCAAAGCCAGCTCCGGATGGACAACTCGTTTCATGCGGCGCCATGGCCTCGCACTGCGAAGGCGGACCACCTTGTGCCAGCGCTTGCCCGCCAGCATATGAGGACAAAGTGGTGGACTTCCACAGTTTTGTTATAAAGCTCCGACAGCAGAAAGACTTCATTTTGTCCCAGATCGGCACCGCTGATCAGACCCCCCTTTGCTTTGATATGCCGTGGAACACGACAGTGGAGGAGAAAGGTGCACGGAGCGTCATCGTCAGAACGTCTGGCGCTGATAAACAACGATGCACCGTAATGCTGGCGGTGACAGCGGATGGGCGTAAGCTACCGCCTTACGTTATTTCTAAACGTAAGACGCTCCCAAAGGCAAAATTCCCTCAAGACATCTACGTCAGAGTCCAGGGAAAAGGCTGGATGAGCGCCGAACTCATGGTGGATTGGGTGAAAACAGTCTGGGGTCGGCGGCCGGGTGGTCTGTTGTTGCCGTCCATGCTTGTCCTGGACAGTTTTCGTGGGCACCTAGTAGACCGCGTACGAGATGAGCTAAAGGAGCTGCGCACAGATCTGGCAGTGATTCCGGGCGGCCTCACATCGATACTGCAGCCTTTGGACGTGTCCTTGAATAAACCTTTCAAGGACAATGTTCGAAGGCTGTACACCACCTGGATGGCTGGAGGACAACATCAGCTGACTACAGGTGGTAAGATTAAGAGGCCGCCTGTGGAAATGCTGTGCGCTTAGATCGTGGAAGCGTGGCAGGCGATCTCCGACGAAGTCGTCAGGAAGAGCTTCAAGAAGACTGGTATCTCGAACGCACTGGATGCGAGTGAGGATGACATGTTGTGGGGTGCGGATGATTCGGACACCGAAAACGAATCCCCGCTCAGCGAGGATGAATGTGTGATCTCCGACTCGGACTCCGAATAGGGAAAAGGAGGAACAGCTACGACTTTTGTGTAAATAAATTTTACGTGTGTGTGTGCAGTTGACGGCTCTCGCTTGTTCATTAAAAGGTACGTAGGTATGTTTGTTTTATGCTGAATTAATTGGTAAACGATAAAAGTCGCCTTTTACTTGACAAGTGTGCAGATTTAAAGCGCGAGAACCGAGTTGAAAAAATTTTCGAAAATTTTGCCCCGCGTAATTGGCGCACCCCTAACTTCGAGCCGGATTTTCTGAAAAAAAAGTGCGCCTATTATGCGAGTAAATACGGTACATACGCTTGGTAAGGTGGTTCTATCGCTCGCCGCACACTGCAGCTTACCGAGCGATCGGCGTGCGCCATACCATACTGTGTTACGGTGTCAAGCCGCAATACCACACAGCAACGACGCCCGGCACCCTGAGCCCAAAAGAGGTAGAAACTATTGACAGAAAATCGGACCACCCACGAGGCTTCTGTACTCACTCGCTTCAGGCCTGGCCTACAATCCATGTGCTCTAAGCTTTGCTCACCCCAGGATGCAGACCGCATGGCTTTTGTCTCAGCAGAGCAACGTTCTTACAAACCAACAACAACGAAAAAAACACTTGCGAGCTGAAGAAAAAATAAAAACTCAACTTGCCGACAATGTCAAACACGTCGCAACAACCGATCTCCTCGCTCTCAACAAAGCACACCACGCATGCTAGCAAAGAAGTCTCCCTAGGCCTAGTCTACCCCGGTTCCAACAAAAGCTTGTACCGAACCGCAGAAACTGTTGTTCAAAACTCTAAGAGCCCCACATTGGGCGCTAGTATGGGGTCTCGATAATGGCGAGCGCGCCAGGCTCTTGGAGTGAACGGACACAGCAGACACGGTCGGACAAAACCAAGCTACAACACATTTATTTCACTACTTAGGATCGACGATATCGTCAGGCGAATTATTATGACATCAATCATGATCAACACGCTAAGACATCCTTACGCTTTATTAAATAACCCTCAACTACAAACACAAGGCGGCGAACGCGAGACTCACCACGAGAGGAGGGCCCCGGCAGACAGCCCGCTTTGCCGTGCACCGGGAACACACCGCTAGAGGCATCCGTTCGCGCCAAACGCCACACGCAAGAGAGACCAGCTTATTTCTCGCGCGCCGCCACCAAGGCTTGCCACCAGGTGTCACTGCTGGCACTTGTTTTTAACCATGATGATGCTGATAGTGGCGATAAACGCTCACAAGCACGCCACCCACCGCTCAATAGTTGGGACCTGAAATGCGACTTATGCTTGAAACAGGTGTGCTACGTGGCGCAAACAACTTTACAGGAGTGCCACACCCCCACAGTACTCGGGACTAGACTGCGACATTGAGCGACTGGTCAACTCGTGCTACGTTTGTGCACAGGCTTCTGCGATGCCACCTGCCCAGGTACCTGCGACATGGCCAGTGACGGGAGAAAGCTGGAGCCGTCTGCATGCTGATTTTGCAGGTCCAGTGGACAGGCACATGGTATTGGTCATCGTAAACACTGAAACTTTTAAAATGGATTAAAGCGGTATCAATGAAGATTGCTACATCTGAATCTATGGTCAAAGCTTTGCGGTCTATATTTGCATGGTTTTGGCTTCCGAAAACATTCGTGCCTGACAGTTTGTGAAGTTTTTTTCACAATTTCTTGGCCTGTAACAACGTACAGCAACTAACAACTGCATCCTACCATGTGCAATCTAATGGATTAGCCGAGAGAGCGGTGCACATGCTCAAAGAAAGACTAAAAGAAAACCCGGAAAAGTACCTGATAACACGGCTGGATCGATTTTTGTGCTGGTACTGTCGAACACTGGGAGAGGATGGCAAGTCACCAGCAGAACGGTTGCTGGGTTACCAGATTAGGACGGAGATGGATGCTCCCAAGACCAAAGAAAATGGTGCTGATGGTTCGCCAGAAGCAGCAACGAGAAAATTTAATGCAGGTGACCCAGTGTGGATGTGTGGTTTTGTAAGAAGTCGAAAGTGGATTGCCGGAGTGGTGCAAGACAAACAAGGGTCAAGGGTGGTCACCGTAGATTGTGCTCAAGGAATGCACCGACGGCATCTAGACCAGCTGAGGTGCCGAGCTGAATCAATGGACACAGATCTTGACCAGAAAAGCAAGCAAGAGCCAGCCGCAGATACCAGAGAAATGGTGCAAGACAGTCCTGAAGAAACAGTGTCAGAATCGGCACTGCTGCCTGGTTGATCTCCGCTTTTGCGGAGAACAACCAGGCAACAGAAATCACCGGAACGCTATGGCATTCAAAGGGGCGGAGATGAAGCATCTGACATATGCAATCTTATCATTGCCGTCACTGAAATGTCACGTGCATTGAGTATAAAAACAAGCTGCTCAATAAATCGTTCTTGTTGTGTTATCTGGCTTCCGTGTTTTATCTCGATAGCAACATAACAGTCTCTTCTTTACCGATTCCTTATTTGCTGTTGTCCATCTGAATGCCACTAAAAGTCTAATCAAACCCTTTTCTAGATAACTTTTTCATTTTGTTTACACCCAGGCCACATCAAGGATCAACGTTGATGAAGTACTGGCTAAGAAGCTGCTTCGCAAACTTCGAGTGGAGACACCGGATGAGTTCTGGTTTGATGATATCCAGCAGAAGGTATGTCTTATGTAGCTTTTTTTTCTCTCAATTATTTACAGTGATGCCTATAGCAGCACACAAGTTCACAAACTTTTGTAGTGTTGTTCTAATTCTTTTGTTGAAGTTCTTTATGTCCCAATACTGTACAACATTGTTTTACCTTTTTTTCAGAAAAGTCATTAAAATAATAGTTTTTAACCAATATTTTACCACTCTAAAGAGATTAGTGTTTCTCTCTTTTTATTTTTCAAGCTTGAAGAGTGAGTCTGTGCTTCGAAAATTGTTTTAATCATTTCATTTTAATGAAAGCAGCTGATTTTGTGTTTTATCATTTAGTTCGAGATATGCATTCAGCTTTTGCTTGCCTAAAAGGAACCTCATCCTTAAAGGGACTCTAAATAAGGACAATGACTTGGTCTAAATTGATAAACTGCACTCTGAGAACTCTAGCCATAATTTTCACTGTCATAAATGCATTATTAATGGAGAAAATCAAGGTTAAAATTTCATTTTTTGATTTCGCACCCAAATTGCACGTGACGTAGCAAATTTCAATGTGTATTTTTGCGAAATCGGCTCAATGAAATATTTTGAAACTTTGTATGCTAGGTCTGAGCCACCCACAGAAGACAATGTTGTTCATTTTTATAGAGTAGGAGCTGTGTAGACTGTAGTAGACACCTTCAAAATTTACATCGCTGTGTTTGGTGTGGGAATCTTTCAGTAGTGTCTCCACCCGCATTTTCTTTAGGCTTGTGGGAATGGTGAATTTTGGGTCTGAAGTGAATTTAAAGGGAATAGTGATTTAGGTCGAATAATTTTGAATCAAATTCGAATAGTATAATCATTGTCACATTAAAAGGGAACAGGCATATTTGTCTTGACCCAACCAACCCGCACAATATTTTTTAAAAGTATTTATACAAGGCCTGTGCAAATGCCATTCGGTTTGGTTCAAATGATGAATCAACTTTTATTGGATCCAACATTGTTGGTAGTGCACGCAGGGCACCAGAGGAGGCGGTTCTCTAGTTGTGGAACCCGTATGTATCTAGCAACTCCCTGCAAAGGGAGTGGAAAGAACTTAGAATAGTAGCAGGATTTGACTTTTTCCGGAATGCAAGTGATAACCTGTAGTACATGTTACGGTTTAAAATTTACTGTACTTAGAGGTTGTGGATACTTAAAGCATATTGCCACCATTGATGAACGAGCCACTGTGGCTCATACGCGTTTTTGGGCTGCGAAGAAGAAGAGAACATCTTCGTTGCTCTGGTTCTAGTGAACTCCTGGCTGCAGGTCTTGTTTCGCTCGTGAGATTACTGGTGGAGACGCTGGGTACGTGTACTTCGGCTGTGTCGGCCATCGTGGAAACAGCTACATCTCCCAGAGTAAGAATCAGCCGCCGCCTGCTTGGGTTACCCCTTGAATTAGGTCCCTTGGCATCGACACCCAGAAAGATGGCAACTGCGATGACAAGCCAGGCGGTCCAAACCGGCGATGCCCATGGTTCTCTTCTCGCCCATGTTTTTCACGTGCCACAGACACCAAAGCCATTCCATGGAGACATCTTCGAGGATGTTGATGATTGGCTCGACCACTTTGATCGGGTTGCCAGTATCAACGAATGGGACGATGTTCGCAAGCTTCGCCGAGTTTACTTCTACTTGGAGGATTCTGCGAAGACGTGGTACGAGAACCACGAGGGCTCCTTTGCAACATGGCAACAGTTTAGCCGACAGCTCAGTGACGCCTATCGCAACACCGAGAGGAAGGAGAGGGCTGAACAAGCCATATCCTGCAGAAACCAACGGCCGAACGAACGTGTATCCATGTTTGTTGAGGACATGCTTCGGCTCTTCAAGCGCGCGGACCCTGCCATGCCCGAGGAAAAGAAGGTGCAGCATTTGATGTGCGGAGTAAAAGAACAGCTTTTCGCTGGGCTCGTGCGCAATCCACCGACGACAGTCGCCCAGTTCATCAGTGAGGCAGCCACGATGGAACGTACGCTGCAGCAGCGGTCGTCACAATACGAACGCCAGATCCCGGCCACCACATGCTCTTTCGGCTCTGACAGCGAGAGACAGGCCCTCGCAGACTTCATTCGAAGTATCGTTCGGGACGAATTGCGACAGCTTCAGGCAGTGGGATCCCATCCACCTGTGTCGGCCCTCGCGGATGTAATCAGACAAGAAGTCCGGCAGGCCGTCACACCCCTAGCCCCAATCGCACCACCGATTCCCGAGGCCCCAGTCCTGACATACGCAGTGGCATTGTGATCCCCTGCGCCACCAGCTACAGATACTGCTATGCGGCCAAGGTACCAGGCTATGCAGCCATTCCACGACACTGCTTCGAGCCCGCGGCTCAAGGTTTTCGAGCCCACCCACGTATCTGCCGTCTATCTCAAGACAAAGTGGTGGCAAGGCAAGCACGTGGCGCACCTCGGATAACCGTCTGCTCTGCTATCACTGTGGCGAAGCGGGTCACGTATACCGCAACTTTCAATACCGGCAACTAGGTCACCGCGGCTTCCACCCTGATGCTCGATGCCTGCGGTACGGCGAGCGCCCCCGCGAAATCGAAGCCTATCTCACGGGCCAACGTACTCCTTCGACTATTCAGCACCACCAGTCGAGATCACCATCGCCTCGCCGGTCTACGTCACCCAGTTTGCCCTCTGCCCTCATCGTCTTCCGCTCCTTTCAGGAGCCGGTCACCAAGTCCCCGCAAGGGAAACTAGGAACGGCGACTTCTGGGGGTTAAGTCGCGGCCCGGCGAACTTTAAAAGACCCTCCTTCGACGCAACGACCGGACGAGGACGATTCCGGTTTTGCAGTGTTCTCCGACAGCAAAAAGATTGTTTCTGCCGAAATTGCCGTCTTCGTCGACAATCATGCTCTTAACGCCCTCGTCGACACCGGTGCCGACTATTCCGTAATGAGCGCCACACTGGCATCTGAACTGAGGAAGGTTACCACGCCATGGCAAGGACCCCAGTTGCGCACGGCAGGTGGCCATCTGGTGACGCCTACTGGTATGTGCACGGCACGCATTCGAATACGTACATCGACATTTGTGGGCTCTTTCCTCGTATTGCGCGTGTGCTCTCGGCCAGTCATTCTAGGAATGGACTTCCTTCGTGAATACGGCGCCGTCATTGACCTCCGGGAATTACTTGTGTCGTTCGAGGATCCTTTTTGCGATGCAACTGACAGTATGCAATTCCGGAAAAGAGCGCTCCGTGTTACCGACGATTCTCTGACTCTCCCATCTCGAAGCAGCCTCTTTGTCAAAGTAGAATTGGGACAGGACGTGTCTGACGCGGTAATTGCAGAGGCCAATTTGTCTCTCCTTATTTCACGACAAACCTGTGTTGCCCGAGGAATCATTCAGCCTAGCAATAGGCATGCTCACCTGCTGGTCACGAACTTCAGCGACGAATATCGCCACCTAACGAGACACACTGCCTTTGCATATTGTGAAAAACTTGCCGATGCCGATGGTCCGTCTACGTTAGCTTCATTTTCATCGAATGGGCACCCTGACGAGGCCTTCGCGAGCACTCTCGACGTAAACGAGAAACTACCTTCGGCTCAATGAGAAAGCCTTTTGCGTATACTCGGCTCATTTCAAGACTGCTTTGCCACTACGTCAAAGGTTAAACAGGCACCACTTGCTCAGCATCGTATCATCACGGAACCCACCGAGAGACCCATCCGACAACATGCCTATAGGGTGTCGCAAAAAAAGCAAGATGCTATACGTGACCAAGTCCAGCAGATGCTTCAGGACGACGTCATTCAGCCATCGACCAGTCCCTGGGCTTCGCCAGTTGTGCTAGTAAAGAAGAAAGACGGTACGTTGCGTTTTTGCATTGAATACCGTAAACTGAACAAGGTCACCAAAAAGGACGTTTATCCTCTACCCCGGATAGATGACTCGTTGGACCGTATACGCAACGCTAAATATTTTTCCTCCATGGATTTGCGTAGCGGCTACTGGCAAATCGCAGTGGACGAGCGCGACCGCGAAAAGACGGCGTTTATTACTCCCGACAGCATGTACGAGTTTAAAGTGTTGCCTTTCGGTCTATGCTCAGCGCCACCTACTTTTCAAAGAATGATGGATACCGTTCTCACGGGGCTCAAATGGCAATCATGTCTTGTTTACCTTGATGACGTCGTGGTCTTTGCAGACACGTTTGAACAACACGTCCAACGCCTTCATGCAGTTCTCCAGGCAATCAGAACAGCGGGGTTGTCTCTCAAAACCGACAAATGTTATTTTGGATATGAAGAACTGAAGTTCCTTGGTCACGTTGTGAGCCATGCCGGCATCCGCCCAGATCCTGAGAAAACCCGCGCCGTTGCCGCCTTTCCCATGCCCACAAATAAGAGCGACCTACGCCGATTTCTGGGGCTCTGTGCGTATTACAGGCGCTTTGTCAAAAACTTCTCGAAGATTGCTGAACCCCTCAACAAGCTTACAAAAGACAGTGTCTCGTTTGTTTGGGGTCCCGATCAGTGCCATGCGTTCGACACCCTCCGAAACCTCCTCCAGGCTCCGCCTGTACTAGGTCATTTTGACGAAAGCGCTGACACGGAATTACACTGACGCCAGCAACGCTGGACTAGGAGCGGTATTAGTTCAGTGGCATAATGGTGTAGAGCACGTGATCGCTTATGCGAGCTGAATGTTATCCCCAGTGGAGAAAAACTACTCTGCAACCGAAAAGGAATGCCTCGCTGTTGTCTGGGCCATAACAAAGTTCCGCCCATACTTGTATGGCCGCCCATTCAGGGTAGTTAGCGACCACCATTCCCTTTGTTGACTCGCGAATCTCAAAGATCCCTCAGGTCGTCTAGCACGATGGAGCCTTCGGCTACAAGATTTCGATGTCACCATCGTCCACAAATCTGGGCGGAAACACACCGACGCCGACTGTCTCTCACGTGCACCGGTCGAAAATGCCAACACTGACCTTGAAGACGACGACACTTTTCTTTCTGCCGTATCAGCAACCCGCTTAGCTGAGCAACAGCGTCACGACTCGAAGCTCATCCCGCTCATTGACTACCTGGAAGGACGCAATTCCCACCTTCCTCGTAGCTTTGCACGCTCACTATCCTTCTTTTGTTTCCGTGATAGAGTGCTTTATAAAAAGAACTTTCATCCTACACAAGCTATGTATCTGCTTGTTGTGCCAACTACGCTTCGTGGTGACATTTTACGTCCGTGTCATGATTAGCCATCATCCGGACACCTCGGCTATACGCGCACGCTGCGACGGATTCAACGCTCCTACTACTGGCCACGTCTCGCAAAGACTGTGAAGCACTACGTTCGCACATGTCGCGACTGTCAGTAACGTAAGATTCCACCTTTATGACCAGTGGGACTACTGCACCCAATTGGCCCACCAAAGGTGCCCTTTCATCAGATTGGCATGGACTTGCTGGGGTCATTCCCCACGTCTTCGTCTGGAAACTGGTGGATTGTGGTCGCTACAGACTACTTAACATGCTACTGTGAAACCAAGGCACTTCCAAAAGCCACCGCAGCAGATGTCGCCCAATTTTTCGTTAACAGCATCGTCTTACGTCACGGTGCTTCAGCTGTCGTCATAACTGATTGTGGGACAGCTTTCACCGCAGAGATGCTGCAGGAAGCCTTGCGATTAAGTGGCACGGAACATCGTAAATTAACGGCTTACCACCCGCAAGCAAATGGGCTGACTGAACGACTCAATAAGACAATTGCAGACATGCTGTCAATGTATGTAGACATCGATCACAAGAACTGGGACGCCATACTTCCCTACGTAACTTTTGCGTTTAACACTGCTGTTCAAGAAAGTACCGGTTTCAGACCTTTTCGCTTAGTCCACGGTCGCGACGTCACGACGATGCTCGACGCCATGCTCCTTGCCGATAACTTAGGAATATACCACACGGATGCTGCCAAATTCGCGCAGTGCGCAGAAGAGGCCCGTCAACTTGCTCGTCACCGTATTCAACGTCACCAAACCGCAGTCGCGCGCTGCTACAATCTTCGCCACCGTGAAGTTATTTTTAAGCCAGGTGATGAAGTCTGGGTGTGGACCCCTATCCGACAGCGTGGACGTTCAGAAAAGCTTCTTCGCCGCTGCTTCGGCCCTTACAAGGTTGTACGACGTCTCAGCGACATCACTTACGAGGTTCTCCCACAAGGCAATTGGAGACGTACCCGTTTCAACCCGCGAACTGAAGTCATTCACGTTTCACGTCTCAAACCATACTTTTCGCGCTGTGAATCGCCAGTGAGTGACTGACTTTATTGGTAACTTTGCGTCTTACTTTTTATTTCGTCTTTTCTACATTTTTTCTATTTTTCTTATTTCTCATTTAACTTTTGTCCCCACAACCAACTACGCTATTCCACCTTACGCCATTCATTTTGCTTGGATGCTAATTTTCATCTAATTTTCTTCTCTTTTAATTTTTCAAACTTGAAGAGTGAGCCTGTGCTTCGAAAATTGTTTTAATCATTTCATTTTGATGAAACTTGCTGATTTTGTGTTTTATCGTTCTAGTTCGAGATACGCATTCAGCTTTTGCTTGCCTAAAAGGAACCTCATCCTTAAAGGGACTCTAAAGAAGGACAATGACTTGGTCTAAATTGATAAACTGCACTCTGAGAACTCTAGCCATAATTTTCACTGTCATAAGTGCATTATTAATGGAGAAAATCAAGGTTAAAATTTCATTTTTAGATTTCGCACCCAAATTGCACGTGACGTAGCAAATTTCAATGTGTATTTTTGCGACATCGGCTCAATGAAATATTTTGAAACTTTGTATGCTAGGTCTGGACCACCCACAGAAGACAATGTTGTTCATTTTTATCGAGTAGGAGCTGTGTAGACTGTAGTACACACCTTCAAAATTTGCATCGCGGTGTTTGGTGTGGGAATCTCAGTGGTGTCTCCACCCGCATTTTCTCTAGGCTTGTGGGAATGGTGAATTTCGGGTCTGAAGTGAATTTAAAGCGAATAGTGATTTAGGTTGAATAATTTTGAATCAAATTCAAATAGTATAATCACTGTCACATTAAAGGGGAACAGGCATATTTTTCTTGACCCAACCAACCCGCACAATATTATTTTAAAGTATTTATACAAGGCCTGTGCAAATGCCATTCGGTTTGGCTCAAATGATGAATCAACTTTTATTGGATCCAACATTGTTGGTAGTGCACGCAGGGCACCAGAGGAGGTGGTTCTCTAGTTGTGGGACCCGTATGTATCTAGCAACTCCCTGCAAAGGAAGTGGAAAGAACTTAGAATAGTAGCAGGATTTTACTTTTTCCGGAATGCAAGTGATAACCTGTAATATATGTTACGGTTTAAAATTGACTGTACTTAGAGGTTGTGGATACTTAAAGCATATAATCCTGTTTAACACGCTTTTAAACGTCAAAAATGATGAATTGATGTGACGTTATCGGTTATACGTATGCTCATTTAACCTAAAGGTGCGGCTTTATGGCAGTGGATATTCTCTTTGGATGGTTGTTTTCACGCCTCATTCTTTGGTACTGCAAAACCACCTTCACATTGCGTTACATGCAAACTAATATACATTTAAATACGTTCTTTTATGTCTTTGCCCCACTCTACTGCAGTGAAACCACTTTTACAGAGGTTACATGCGGATTAATTTACATTTGTTTCTTCATTTCAAGTACTTCGAAATCTTCAACAATTGAAATTCTAATTAAAGCGAATTAGAATACAGTAATGTTCATTCGAGTATTTGAAGCATTCTAATATTTGCACAAGCCTAGTTTTCTTGCTTACCATGCGTCATGTCGTGGTAATAGTGGTGTTTTCAGGATTGTGAATTAGTACGCGAAGCATTGTTTTGCTCTCTAGTGTTCCTCTCTAGGAGCACCACAGATGTATTCTGTGATGAATTAAGCTGTTTTTCAGTGAACTTGTTATTTGTTTATTAATTTTTTAACAAGACCATTATCGATTATTACAGGTGGCCCAGATCATGCAGGAGGAGCAACATTTTCCTAGTTTCATGAAGTCCGAGGGCTACATCAAGTTGCTAGCTGAGCTTGACCTCCTAAAGGATTTCGGGTCCAAGTCGGATGAAGAAGGTGAAGTCTGCTTCCAAAATTATTCTTGCTGCAGAAGTGCAGCTGCAGACTGCCTGCAGTATCTTTTTCGTATATCACATACTTGTGGGACGAATGCACTTATCTCGCGAACAATAAAAGCAAAGTTGGGGGTGCATTTATTATGCAGAGCAAACTTTTTTAACACTTTTTCAGGATTAGCAAAAAATGCAGTAAAGGAAAAGCTAGATAATTAAATTTTTGAAATTGGCATACGTGTACACTGTTTGAAAACAGCTTCTTTGTTGCACTTCACATGCTTTAGATTATCTTTTGCGAGCTTTCCCCGTACCGTCTGCACACTACATAAAAGTATTTCGTGGTGTTCTTGCAATATTTTGACCGCATTACTGGTGTCTGCCGTGATCTCGAAGGGCACCCAGAAACGTGCGCTACGACGCACTTTGCCAGCTCCGCGACAACCTCACACAACAACCGCGCCGACGACGTTGACATTGCACCAAGTGACCAACACTGCTGCGACCTACCACTGAAGTATCAAAACAAACTGTTGATAACAAGATTAACGACAAAATAGGGCTGCTGCCTCGCTGTCTACATTAGAAGTGACTGTAGAATGAGTAGCTTATACCTTGCATTCCTTGAAGTACACGCGGATAACAAGCATGCAGAGCAAATTGCAATCGAAGCATAAATCAGGGGTGCCACCGTGTTGTGAAAATCGTCACGCTTTTTTCTGGTTGACAAGCAATTTTTCATGGTTTTCCAAAAACCTGTGATATGCTTGTGGCGCGATAAAAATGAATGGCCTTTCGTGACGGTCATGGCAACAGTAAAGCCTGTTGTCATCACTAGAAAATCACGTGCATGTGGCTGGGCCCTAATGTTTCGTATTTGCAAGAAGCAATCATTGGTTTCATCGCCTTCACTCACTGTGTACTTGTCAGCTGCGATGCCTTTATCAAACAGCCGTGTCTCTACACTTGCACCATTAGTGAACCCCACTGGGGTGCACAGATAATTAATTACCATATATTGCTGATTATAAGACGACCCCCAACTTGCAATTTTTGTGAAAAAAAAGTTTACTCCCAACACAGCCTCATGCTGTGGCCATAGCACACCGATATGTCTTTCAGAAGAGGGAGTGATGCAAAGAAAGATTTATTTGACAGTGAAACATCGCTTATGACTCATTCACTTGAGAAAAGGATACAGCAGTCACAGTCATTGCCATCATGTGAGCCATTCTGCTGCTCGCCATCGGAAGGGATGCTAAGATGGTGCACGTAAAAAAAGCCGCGCGGACCTTGTCGATTGGCAGTCCATACCAGGTACCATTAACCCATTGCGCCACTTCACTCAAAATGCTCGGTTTGAACTCGGTTAGCGGGAGGCACATATTTTTCACGACAGCACGAGCTTTTGCTTCCATGTCATCGCAGCAAACACCCAGGCTTTTGCTTCTCTGGTCGTGAACGCAAAGGTATCATCTAGACTTCGGTTTGCGAAAGAAATGGCGTGTTGCAACGCGCGCAAAGATATTGGTCCTTTGTTTTTCCATTCCCTCACGCACTTTTCCGACACATCGAACTTTCGCCCTGCTTTAACGTTGCTTTCCAACCCTGCATAGAGGATCGCTTGCAGCTTGGAAGCAGCACTGTACTGTTGCCGGTGGGGCAGTGGCATCTTGGCGTCCATTGAGCAGCTTTGAAAATCATGCACACCACTTTCGCAAGCGAGGCAAAATGTAGAAATGGTGAGCAGGGGTGAGCCACAGAACATTTATACCAGCATGCATGAGCGCGAACAGACATAAATACACTTTTGAACGCCTGCATGTGGCACACGTGACTGGTCATGTGGTTTAGTTCCCCGCGAGTGTTGCCAGCCTACACGACGCTGCCATCTTTTTCATGGAACACCTGTGGTGCTTCGTGAGAAATCTGAATTTTCGAATTGTCTATTCAGCAAGTGCTGCTAGGGCACGTTGTCCACTAAAGCGAGAAACACATGTCATGTCTTTGGTGAACGATAAACGTCACGTTTTTTTCTGATCGAGAGATACTTGTCGAGTTTTTCTCGACAGATAAGCGTACGTGGCATTGTTAGTGAGCGATAAACGCATGTCACGTTTCTTTGCAAGCGAAATGCATTGTCATACCCATATGCGGCTAGTGCCAGAAATGCTGCCGATCTAGCCCGACAGGCGCACTGATGCGGTGGCGCTACCATTGTAATCGTGATACACTCAGCGACGCGCCATGAAAAAGTGCTTCATCTCCGACGCGACGTTGCTGACACCTCATCCTCTAGCCACCATAGCTATACCATAGTTTCGTGATCGTCGAGGCAGATCGTAAAAAAGTCCGGCTCCAAAAGGGACGCACACGCGTTGAGCACGTTCCCGCGACTCCGTTGTCTATACAGCTGATGTTATCGATGCGTCGAATAGCAGTGAATCCGAGGTAGACAGTCCATTCGTCGGACTTCTAAAAAAGTCGACCTTACGATTTCGCGTATAGGTCGACTCATTAAAGGTCAACTGCTGAAACTTGAGAGGTCGTTTTGTGAAAAAAAAAGAAACATTGACTTATAAGACTTATAATCGGCAATATACGTTAAGACAGGAGATGTGCCCATGGTCGTAGGCAAGATTTTTTTTTCTCTTGGGGGGGGGGGGGGGGAGTGCCAACAAGTGTTGCATCGTGAGTGGGTGAAGGGGAGAGCATTGGTGTAGTATGATTGTGGGCAAGTGCCTCTTTTGCACACCCCTGCCGACGCCTGTGTACGTGAGTGTATAGATAGAAACACAAAACGGCGTGAAGCAACTGGCAAAGGGGGCAAACGAGTGAGTCATGGGGGGGGTCGGCATAATAAAAAACAGAAAAGATCCAGTGGGAAAGGATGCTCGAGGTGTTGGTTTGCAGGACTGCAGCGGATGATTGTAGGAAGTGGGCTTGTTAGGCGGGAGGAAAAAATAAATCAAAATTTTTATGACTGAATTTGGGCGTGCGCTTATTATGCGAGTGTGTTCAAACGTGAGTAAATACGGTATAACCCTAGCCTTAAGCTTTAGAAATAAAAAGTAAATTTCTAAAGATGTGTTATATGCTAATTTTATTTTGAGGAATCACTTGGCTTCACGGCAACACAGTTCGCACTCGAGGCAGTATCCCGGAAAACCGCACCCTGTTAATGCCACCACTGCACGATTTACATTTTGGCTGTGTTACGAAATAGATGCAGTGTGCTGGAAAACTAGAACTCTGTTTGCATTAAGCTGCATCTGATTGCTGTCGCCTTCACACTAAAACAAAAACCAAGGATCTTTAGTGTTGTTGTTTTTCATAGCTAATTTTTTATAGTTTCTTGCGAACTTGCATATTTTTTCTCTGGGATGTATACATAGAGAAAATGTTGCTGTTGTCGTGGCACTTTGCACGACTGCAAATGCTTGCAATCACAAACATGTGCACTTGTTAATTGTTAAACAAGCCTACAGACAGTTTTGACAATTTTTTACTAGCCCATTGAACCAACAGCATTGATTCTCCAGATTACAAAAAGAGGTTTATGTGCTGTTTGTAAATAGTAAAATGCATTTTAAGGTTTGAAACGTATACTGCTATGGATCGCAGAATTCGGCCACACTGTCTCTAGCTGCCCTTGTTTTGGGATGAGGCATTGTTTTGTTATGTCACTCATGTGACCAATCTTATTAGCTTGTACTGGCAATAAAATGCAAGTGGTCAGGTTTTTGGCAACACGTTGTGATGCAAAGAGCTGCGAGACAAACACAATGCGTGCCCGGTGCAATCTGCGGCGCACTGGCAGAGGATCGCATAAGACAGAAGCTAGCCTGGACTGCTTGGCAAAGTTGAGAAGAAAAAGCACGAGCTGAGGGAAGAGTGGCCTTTCATTCCCTGTTTATTCCTTGGTACTTGGGGCTTCACCTTAACTGTGGGGCAAATCATTTAATTCGGTTGTGGCCTGACCACTTACACAATTTCTGAGAACTATTTCAGAAACCCTCTAAAAGAAAAGCTATCGTAACTACTACAGCAACATTCACAAAAAAAAAAATTGGAACTTGCCAGCGAGCATGCGCTTCTCGAAATCTGACAGGGATTTATAACTTCAGAGGATGCCAGGGGCATTGTGCATTACTACAATGGGCCAAAGTATGTGGCTTAGCACCCTTGAAAAAGAGTAAATTAGGTGTAATGGATATAGGGTAGGTACATTGACGCACACCTTACAAATCATCCATTCTTCTTTCGTGTGTGTGTATTTGTGTGTGTGTAAGAGAGATGGTACTTCATGCAAGTCATTCGTAAGTCAGCCTCACAAAAATCTCATGCAGACGCGTCTGCATTTCATATCCTGTGGCATTGACCTCTGTGGTGTTATTTGCCCGTGCAGATTCCTTCAGTGGAGCCAAGTCCGCAGGGAGTGGGGTAAGTTTACTTTCATTGCATTGATATGCTAGGAGTGAAGTGCATAAATATAAGTTTATTTCGTACCACATAGTGACTGTATCAATTAAGTGCTGTAGCCCACGATTAGTTAATGGTTAGTGTGTTGGGTAGGAAGGGGGAACTATTTAGCAACACAGCCAAACTCGCGATCTCAGACTGCAACAGCAGCGGACAAAACAAACAAGACTAGTGGCAATTATTTTTCTAATTGGGCATAGGAAACATACTTTTTTCTTTCTGATGCGTAGTGGCAGAATACTCTGCTACTCTATTGAGCCATGGCAAGTCTCACAGGTAGAAACTTTGGCAGTCTAGCCGAGCCCAGTTTCTAGTCAAGCCAATTAGGAGGTCACAGTAATTATGCTACTATAGTGTGTGCAGCAGACAATTAAGCCAAGGACAGTATATGGTACATTATTTGTTGTTTTTAGCTGTAGTGTAGTAATCATGAAATAGTTGAAAATCAAATAAAGGGGACAAAAAAACACTCTTTCTGTGAGTGGAGCCCACACACTCAAACTTTGAATTACACGTCCAATGCTTGACCAATTAAACTACGAAAGTTGGTGCTCCCGCACATCTATATTGTTTGGACATTCTGTGCATGTTATCTATGGGAGCGTTAGTCAGCGCCACTAGCCAAGGCAACGAGTGGCAAGTTGTCCATATACTCGAAAGCTTGGAAGTCTGCCTTTTCACGAATTGCAGCCTCAGTCTCATGTTACGCACAAAACATGTCTTTTTCACATATTATCGCTGTTTGTTTTAAGAGCAGTAGATTGACCTGCATGTTTTCCAAGACACTGGACAGTGTGGGTATGAATGTCGACAATGCTGCAGGCCAAGTGAATTAGCGCTACGAGTAAAAGCGACACTTCGTGCTTGCAGATGGCTAGCAACCTTTGAGGGAGTTTTCTTCTATGAGAACAATTTCTCGTTCTTGTCATTACCAGGATGACTGTGGCAGTCTCAACTCCCTGGAACCGGAGGAAGAGCCTATTGAGTTTCTCAACAAGGAGATGCCCTCGGCACCACCTGACCCTGCCGTCAACAACAAGACAGCAGAGTTCCTGCTGATTGCCAGCATATACAACACAGGTCAGGACACTTAGTCAAGATTGGCTAAACATTCCAAACATGTTGTAGCCTTTAACAATGGCCAATTCTGCTGTCATTCTGGTGAAGTCGCACATTTGCGATGTGCATTTTTTAAAAAAAACACCTGTGGGAGCATGCGAATATTTGGGTTGATTATCTTCGGAAAGCTTTCTGTATACCCGACTCCTTTACATTCTCCAGTTATCACCACACTGTGATTAGTCACCACAGCAACCATTTTTTTAAAGGCAAATGCCTTTTGAAGCTTCTTCTCCGGTTTCTGTAAAGGGGTATGATGTTTTTGTCAAGAAGAATTTCTTACTGAATTCCAATGCCTTGTTAACTCAGATGCTACCAACAAAGGCTAATGTCGTCTAGCACTTGTTAACTTTTAGCCAGTATTGGCTAATGTCAGTGTTCACCGGCTGCTGTTATAACAGCTGTGTTATCTTCGTTCACCGTCAGTCCAATCATTAGTTGTGTATGTGTGTGTGTTCTCCTTTCAGCGAACGCACAATCTTGAAATTCCTAGAGAGTAAATACGCTGAAACCCTTTCAGTAAAATGCACAGTCAGAAAAAATATCACTTTCCAAGCGCTCTGCGTCCTAAAAATGCTTACTAAATTTTTTCACGTAGGCTGCTGAAATGTGTTGTCCTTGTATGGCTAATACTAAGCAGTGCAATGATCAGTACTTTTAAATATTGACAGTGCATAAAAATTAGAACACAAAATGGGTGCTTGCACTCATTAGGAGTTGTAACACGGTCACAACTCCCTTACAAGTCTGTTTTTTTTTTTTGTTTTTTTTTTGTTTTGTTTTGTTTTTACGTGTGCAGCACAAATTTTGAAGCTCATCCACCTCCAGCTCATCCACATTCTCCGCTTTCTCCTTAGTGAAAACTGCTTCCGCTCCTTCATCTCAAGCAGAGATGAACTCATTCTAGTAGCACCGGAGCACGAATGCCGACTTGCTTTGCGGATGCAATAAGTTATCTCCAAAAAGATGAACACAACTGACAAGGCTTCCTCAGAGAACACCTATACCCCTTTGGCCTTCTAGATCACATGTAGAAGTAACAAAGATAAGAAAAACCCGAAGCATCGCACCTGTCATCGCCTCTGCCGAAGAAAAGAAAGAGCTAAAAAAAAATTCCTCGCGTTTCGTTTTCTGCTCCCTCGCTGTCTCAGGTTTTCCGTGCCCATGCTTCCTGCTCCGCTACTCCTAAAGCCCTTAAAACTTCGTAAAGTAGCGACATTCTCCTCCTTCACTCTCGTTTCTCCTCGGTCTCCTCTCCTTCGCACTCTTGTTTCGAATGTGGCGCTATCTACATTGCTTCTGCGTAGCAGATGCCCTTTTGTGACGAGAGCGCTTGCTCGGCAGGCAGCGCACTGAGGGCGTTCGCACCAGCTGTCTAACTCACCCTAAAGCTATCTTAATGAGTGTAACATTGGCCCACGACAGCTATGTTCAGTGCCACGCGCTAAACGTAGCACGTGTGATCAAGCAGTGATCACACGAGCTACGCGTATGTGGGATCACTTCTTGATCGAGTCACTCGGCATCGCCTTAACCAGATGCTAACTTTGTGCACATCACCCCGTAGTATGTATGTTCTTAAATGTAAAGTTGTGATCGTTAAATAATGGCTCGCGATCAAGTGTAACCCCCTTATTCTCTACGCGGGCCAAAGTATGCGTGAGAGATGAGAGCTGCGGCACGCTCACTGCGCCATCTTGCTGATAATGCTGGAAACACGATAGTTCCCCCCCCCCCCCCCCCCCCCCCCCCCCCCGAGATGCCCGCCAACAGCAGTATGTGGTAGATATGAGTAGCTTGCCGTTTGAATGGTGATGGAGGTACCTCTCGGTGGCTCAGTGGTTAACTCCTCGCATTCACAACGCGGAGGTCCCACGTTCGATTTCGGGCGCTGAAGTCTTCTTTTCTGAGATTTTTTTCTTCTTGCGTTTTCATATATTGCCGCGCGCTTGAGCTGCCAGCGCAAAAGAGGCAGACGAAGTGGCAGTCCCCCTCGTGCCATTGTTCTGTTTTTGGCTGCGCTGAGCCGACCGCTCTTCGGACTTTTGTGAGGACGCCTTAAAAACGTCTCCTGTCTCTTTAACGTGACATTTTAATGGTGGAGGTGCGGGGTAACCTCCCCTATGCAACAGACTCCTTCTAGCAGCCGGAACGTGACCCAAAACCCAGAGCTTACGCCGGTACACCGTTTCAGTCGGAGGATTCGAGGACTGTCCCCCGAGTTTGTGCCTCACAGTACAAGTACGTCGACTGGTATGGAGAATACTGTTGCTGTCACCGCTTCCCCTACCGCTGGAGCCGCCGCTGCTCCAACCGCTGCACCCGCAGCTGCACCCACTCATTACACGCTACAAAAACCACGTGTTCCGAGTCCCTTTCGTGGTGGCCTCTATGAAGATGTGGAAGATTGGCTGGCTGAGTACGAGTACGTAGCGGATTTCAACGGGTGGGACGAAGTAGCGAAGCTCAAGAATGTGTACTTTAGTCTTCTGGATGGTGCTCGCACATGGTTCCAGAACCGCAAGGGCCTCCTAACGTCGTGGCATGAGTTCTGTCACAGGCTCCGCGAAACGTACTCGAGTCTCGATCGTCGAGAGCGCGCTGAAAGGGCCCTCCAGTCCCGCATGCAGATGCCTAATGAAGGTGTGGCTACATACGTGGAGGATATGGTTCATCTGTTCACTCGCGCCGATCCAACCATGCCGGAAGACAAGAAGCTGCGACACTTGATGCGAGGTAAAAAAAAAAACATTGTCACAGTGTGTGGTACGGTTTTAACCGCACCACGTGCACAATCTCGGGTCGTAGCTGTCGGCGTCGGGGTGGTTGGCTTCCGTCCGGAAGGACTTCGTAATTGACGTCGCTCACTTGTCGTAGCACTTTGTACGGGCCAAAATACCGACTGAGAAGCTTCTCAGAGAGACCTTTGCAGCGCACAGGGGTCCAAACCAACACCTGGTCACCTGGTTTATAATCGACTTGTCTGTGGCAGCGGTTGTAGCGCTGTGCATCGACGCCTTGTTGTTTCTTGATGTTTACGCGGGCTAGTTGACGTGCTTCCTCGGCTCGTTGCACGAAACACTCAGCATCTTCGTCGAGATTCTCGATGTTGTCAATGTCGCATGGGAGCATTGCGTCCAACATCGTCTGAACGTCCCGACCGTATAGAAGACGAAACGGAGTGAATCGTGTGGTCTCTTGCGTAGCGGTATTATACGCGAATGTTACGTAAGGCAGTATTTCATCCCACGTCTTGTGCTGTACGTCTATGTACATAGACAGCATATCAGTCATCGTTTTGTTAAGCCGCTCGGTCAGTCCATTTGTCTGAGGGTGATACGCTGTTGTCTTGCGATGCGTGGAGTAACTTAACTGAAAAACTTGTTCAAGGAGCCTTGCTGTAAACGCTGTTCCTCGGTCTGTGATGACACAGGATGGAGCACCGTGGCGTAATACAATTCTCTCGATGAAAAACTGAGCAACTTCACAAGCCGTGCTTTTAGGAAGCGCCTTAGTTTCAGCATAGCGGGTTAGATAATCTGTAGCGACGATTATCCACTTGTTGCCGGAAGATGACAAGGGAAACGGACCCAGGAGGTCCATGCCGACTTGATCGAAGGGTGTTCTGGGTGGCTCGATAGGGTGAAGTAATCCCGCAGGCTTAACAGATGGGGATTTTCGGCGCTGGCATTCGCGGCAGGCTTGAACGTACTGTTTAACGCAAGCGGCAAGTTTCGGCCAGTAGTAAGACTTTCGTACCCTAGCGATGGTTCGGGTGATGCCCAGATGGCCCGATGGAGGCTCGTTGTGGCAGGCAAATAGAATTTCCTCACGCAGCTCTGCGGGGACGACCAACAGGTAAGTTTTGTTGCTGGCGGCTGCGTTCTTCTTGTACAACACGCCCTGTCGTAAGCAGAAGGATGACAATCCGCGAGTTATATGCTGGGGCAGTGATACGTTGCGGCCCTCTAGATGTTCAATGATAGGTCGCAATTGAGCATCTGCTCGCTGCCGTAAAGCCAAGTCTGTTACGCTTACGGAGCCAAGGAAAGGGCAGTCCTCTTCGAAGCTCTGAGCGGCAGGCTCAACTGGCGCGCGTGACAACGTGTCCGCATCTTCGTGTGCACGACCGGACTTGTACACGATAGTGACGTCGTACTCCTGCAGACGTAGGCTCCACCTTGCCAGTCGTCCGGAGGGGTCTCTGAGGTTCGCAAGCCAGCACAGCGAGTGATGATCCGTCACTACTCTGAATGGACGGCCGTAAAGGTAAGGTCGAAACTTAGCAATTGCCCACACGACAGCAAGGCACTCCTTCTCCGTGGTACTGTAGTTTGACTCCGGGCGTGTTAGGGTTCGGCTTGCGTAGGCGATGACCTTTTCAATTCCCTCCTGCCGTTGGACGAGTACCGCGCCCAGACCGACGTTACTGGCGTCGGTATGAATTTCTGTTTCGGCTTCCTCGTCGAAATGTCCAAGAACAGGTGGTGATGCCAGGCGAAGCCGAAGCTCTGTGAATGCTGATTCTTGTTCAGCACTCCAAACGAACGGCGTATCGTCTCTAGTGAGTCTAGTTAATGGTTCGGCAATTTTCGAAAAATTGCCTATAAAGCGCCGGTAGTACGCGCATAGACCAAGAAACCGCCGCACACTTTTCTTATCGGCAGGAGTCGGGAAGGCTGCGACAGCGGCGGTTTTCTCAGGGTCAGGACGGACGCCTTCTGCACTTACGACATGTCCAAGGAACTTTAGTTCTTCGTAACCGAAATGGCATTTTTGCGGCTTTAACGTAAGGTTAGCCGTCCGAATCGCCTCAAGTACTTGTCGTAGTCGCTTCAGATGTTCGGAGAAGCTGGTTGAAAACACGACCACATCATCCAAGTACACAAGGCAGCTTTGCCATTTTAAGTCAGTCAACACAGTGTCCATCATGCGTTGGAAGGTAGCTGGCGCAGAGCAGAGTCCGAACGGTAGCACCCGAAATTCGTAGAGGCCATCCGGCGTGACAAAGGCGGTTTTTTTCGCGGTCGCGCTCATCAACCTCAATTTGCCAGTAGCCACTCTTTAAATCCAGGGAAGAAAAATACTTCGCTCGTCGTAGTCGGTCAAGCGAGTCATCAATACGCGGCAGCGGATAAACATCTTTTTTTGTGACGTTGTTGAGCTTTCTGTAATCTACACAGAAGCGAAGCGTACCGTCCTTCTTCTTAACCAGAACGACCGGTGAGGACCAGGGACTGTTCGAAGGCTGGATAACGCCGTCGTCGATCATTTCTTTCACTTGCTGCTTGATAGCTGCGCGTTCTGTCGGCGAGACGCGGTATGGCTGTTGGTGAATAGGTCTTGCGTCGTCGTAAGTGATTATCCTGTGCTGTGTAATTGGCGTCTGACTCACTTTAGACGACTGAGCAAAGCACGCCCTGAATTCAAACAATAGCTCTCGCAAGGCCCTCTGGTTCTCTTCTGGCAGTGCACTGTTCATGTCAACATCTATTACGGTTTGTCCATTGCGGCTACTGTCTTCACAGGCAAAACACTCAATGACGTCCTCCAAGGCTTCAGCGTAGGCGACCGCAGTGCCCCGGAAAAGGTGACGATGCTCATTGGTGAAATTTGTAATCATGACCTCGGCTGTACCGTTCCGAATGTCAATGATGCCTCGTGCCACAGAAATTCCAAGCGCCAGCAGCAGGGAGACGTTGCACTCTGCCACTGTTTCACCGTCACTGGTTCCTTCGGAAGTCACCTGAATTAGGATACTTGCACGAGGTGGTATTGTGACACTGTCGTCGGAAACACGGAGGGCGGTTGTACGGCGGTTGGAGTCCCTTGACGTAGCGTTGACTGTCGAAAAGGAAATGCAGCGTCGCCGTAGGTCGATTACGGCGCCATATTCCCGAAGAAAATCGAGGCCGAGAATTAATTCGCGGGAGCAGTCACGTAGCACGATGGAGCTGACCAAAAACGTGCAGCCTCGTATTTGTAGCCTGGACGTGCACAAACCAACCGGCGTTACAACATGTCCGCCAGCTGTACGTACATGCGATCCTGTCCAAGGCATTATCACTTTCTTCAAGGTACGTGCCAATTGTCCGCTAATAATCGAGTAGTCAGCACCAGTGTCTATTAAGGCAGTTAAATTGCGACCGTCGAGCAGCACAGGTATGTCCATTGAAAAGTCGCTCAGCTGGGATACAGGCGCCGGCGTAGTCGAATTTCCGTTGGTCCGATGTCGCGTCGATTGGAGGGCGAGGTCTTCATCACGTCGAGAATCAGCGGCCTCGCCTCGAAAGGTCGCTGGCGTTAGTTTTCCAGGCGAGGGCTCGGAGACCGTCCTTGCGGCCTTCGATTTCCGTTGCCTGAATAAGATGACGACCGCGGTGACGGTGAGCGCGACTGACGCCTGAGTGGGACGTTCTGCCGAGCGATAAAATCTTCAATTTCTGGTGGTCTCTGTCCAAACCGGGGGCGGGGTGAATTGGCAGGAAAACCCTGCAGCCCAAGTCGGCGGTACTGGCAGTCTCGGTAGAGGTGACCCGCTTCACCGCAGTGGTAGCAAAGCGGTCGTCGGTCGGGCATGCGCCATATGTCGGATTTACGCATGACGGGTCGAGTGTCTGCAAAATAAGGGACCACCTGTGCGGACTGCAGTGTGGCGTACGGGGTTGCGGCTGGTAGTGGGACTGGTGCAGGTGCGTTGTGTTCGAACGTGTCGGTATAAGTGGTGCGCTGGAAACCACTCACTGGGGATGGTGTCGTGGACGACGGAACGGTGCGTCTCAATACGTCTGCGTAGGTCACCCCTAGAGGTTCACTTGAAGTTGCGAACGCCTGAAGTGGTGCAGCAACCTGCGTTGGTGTCTCGCGGCGAGGTGTGCCGAGCGCATGCTGAACTTCGTCACGTATGATGGTGGCGATGCAATTCGTGGAAGGCTGCTGCTGCGCCTGGTTCAGCTGTTGCAGCTGTTGTAGCTCGTCGCGAACAACCGAACGTATCAGCTCGCGAAGCGCTCCCACGTCGGTCGGGAACGAGCCTAGCCCGGTGGTATAGGTAGCATTCACTTGCCGATCGTACTGGTTCCGCTGCTGCAGCGCCTTTTCCATGGCGACGGCTTCAGTGAGGAACTCCGCGACCGTTCTAGGCGGACTACGAATGAGTCCAGCGAAGAGCTGCTCTTTCACACCTCGCATCAATATAAATATATATGGCCGAAATATATATATATATATATATATATATATATATATATATATATATACACGTAAATTATATGGTGCATGACATCGATGCCGAAGCCTGCGCCAACGGCGAAATTCAGCCAAGAGTGTTCCTATAATTGCTATCGCAAGAAAAACTGGCGTGCCATCTATGCTATTACTTCGCAAGAGCTCCACTCGCGGATATAAACCTTCACACGAAATAGCAAATGAATTATCACGTGAAGTGACACAAATGTGTGAGGTTCCTAAACAATGCACCCAATGACTAAAGGCATGCACGCTTTGCATAGCTGTATGCCCTTGTATCGCGAGTCCCTCGGCTGATCGGTCAATGTAAAAGAGCCACAGAGAGTAATTGGATCTAAAACATACGAGCGCGAAACAAAATTCAATGGAGAGTACCAATCCTAATGCGAGTTGCTGCACTACAGTTTTGTTTATTCCAAACAGCAACGCTAAATCTCTGAAGTTCCGCAATCACAATTTCGAGCGTTTTTCTGCATACATTCTAACTGCACGAACCAATACTGCGAACTCAAACCAGTCAGCGCACGACGACAAGCAGAATACGTAAGCATGTATTGTTGACAAAAAAAAAAAACAGCCCCCACAGAAGCCTGAATGAAACCTCAGGGAGAGATCGCGACGTCCTGCACAATTAACTGCGACTTGTCTACGGCATTAGAGCAGGTATTGAATTCAGCAAACATTCAAGCATACTCATAATGAGAGACACGCAACTTACTTCGCAAAGTGCATTAGAAAATGTCAGCCTGAAGTTCTCATTTCTAATTCTATGTAACCATGTCTTTCGTCACAACTTGTTGCGCTTAACGGGTGGTATTATAAAGAGCTTTCGGCCATCACTAGTCTTGTTCTGGCACCAGAAAGCGCAACAACCACCCACGGCAATGAACAGCGACATCATTCTTGGATGAAAAGTATTTCACAGCACAGCGCGCACGGAAGGACAAGTTTTTATCCGTCAAAACAAATGCGCTGCGCCCCAAGAGGTCCGCACCTCCAGAGAAAAAATAGCAGTCGCGAGCGATTGTAAACAAACGAACACTGCAAGCGGTCCCACGTGACGGTATCTGGCCAATACCGACACAGTGCCGGCCTCGGAGAAGTTGGAGAAGGGGGGAAAATGAGAAGGCACGTGAATAACCACGTACGTCGCTACTTTACGAAGTTTTAGGGGTTTTAGCTACTTCCACTCTGCCCTCTGCCTCGCTAACTTTACCCTCCCGTGTTGCTTTCACCTTTGCGCTTGTAAACCTGCAGCATCGGCATTTCGATAAAAAGAAAAAAGAAAGTCGTCCTTTTGTTTGTTTGTTTTTTGCCTCCACATCGTCGCACATTTTTTGAGAAGCAAGACCTTCGTTCGCTGTGGGTTCTGCTTGGGTACCACTGTGGTGGTAGCGACGGATTTCAGAACATGAGTTCGTAGTACTGAGGTGTTGTTAATATAACGCGAAACTAAATTAGTGCGCGTTATTCTGAAAAGTTTGGTATTCCGAAATACATAGTTGTGAAATAATTTTAGATTGAAAATATTAGCAGTCAGTGCAAAATTTTTTAAAGTTTGTTAAACTGAGAACTTAGGCAGTGAAGATAACAAGGATCCCCTGTCCATGGCTTTCGCTTTCAAGCCGTCTTATGCAATTGCGTAAGGTATCCTGTAACCTTTGGATGTTACCCAACAGATACTAAATATTTGTTGCCGTTATGAACTCATAATGAATTATGTCTTCGTAATGAGTATTGAATAAAAAATAGAATTTGTTTAAGATAAAACTTCATTCTATAGAGATTCAACAATATTTTAGCTTTTTGGAGACAGGCTCGATGCATGGCTGCATATGGTTGAGCTAGACATTTATTAAAGCTGGCAGCTAGTGTCAGCCTTGTGGCATGTAACTGCTGCACATTTTTCTGTCTGTGCTCAGGTTCACATTACTCTAAAATATTTTTTTAAAACTGTGCAAAGGCAGTTAAACTATTTTTATGTGTTTGCAAAACATCGACACCTACATGCTGAAGCCAGCAATATATTTTTGCCATCAAAACCACTTTATGTATTGAACTGTGCAGGTAAGAAGAAAGTTATTTCACGCAAACGTACTGTAAGCTGTAATTGCAAGCTCTCACCCATTTGCAGGAATAGTGCGGGAGTCCAGCACGGCTTATGCTCTCTATGCAATATCCGTGACACGCCGTGAGCCGCAGAGCACGGAAGAACGTTGGTGCGTCTTCAGGAGGTACAGCGACTTTGACGACTTCCATATTCTTGTCTTAGAAAAGGTGAGACTTTATGCACTTTTATCTGCTTCATTGTCAGACTTTTTTATAGTATAGCATGTTTCACTAGAAGCCCTGTAAAGGAAATGTTTGAAAGCAGTGTATTTAAAAGTAAATTGTGCATCTTTAATGCTCCTAGTACTGCTAGTACACACATCACACTTTAAAGGGTCTCCGCAGAACTTTATTTAACATTGTCAGAAAATGCTGCCAACCGGTTGTCAAAGCTGCAGTGAACATGCGAGCCGAATTTAGTTGCACTGCATGCAACAGGGCACCAAAATTACATTTCAAGTACATTTGGAAATCGCTCACTCTTCTCTCAACAAATTGCATAGTTGCAGGGGCCAACTGTGTCAAAGGATGGGAGGAAGGCCATTGGCTGATTTCAAAATTCTCGTGCTGCATAGTTACCACAGCGACCACAGTGTGCTACCATTGCCAAAATATTTGCTCAAGGTTACGATAGGTGCTGATGTAGCTTCTTGCCCCTTCGTCATCCACACATGCGCAGCTTGGAGCGTGTTGGGGCAAAGGAATAAACAAGGCACTTGAATCGTGCGACAAATCCTTTCTAGTCACTCATGCTTCACAGATTTGAAAAAGCTTTCTGACAATTAATTCATGAGAGTTAGATCATTTGATAATTTCGTGCAAAAGTTCTGCTGGGCTACCCAAGGCTTAACCATTTCAGTTAGGCATGCTGACCAACGTGTGATGAATTATCTAAAATCAATTTCAGGTTCAAAGTAAGGAAAGTGCTAGCTCATATGAATGTGCAGGCACCTGCCCAATACATTTGATCTGAACCAAACAGCATACCTAGTTTTAAAGTCTGGATAATTGAAGCCTGTTGTATGTGTACTCCCATGAGCAAGAGTGTAAGGACCAAAGTCTCACCAAAAACATCTAAATTAATTTATTAATCATACACACAGAAATTAATGCCTACAGTTAAAAGCTTGAAATAAGTTTAAGCTAGTTTTCTAGATTTTTTAAGTGAATTCATAGGCTGAGAAAAAACTGACATAATTGAGCAACCATGGGTCCTCATATGCTGTTGTCCAGAAGAGTGCATGTGGTGTTCATCATAGGACCTTTCGTTGGTCTTCTCTGTCTTGCAGTTTCCAAAGTTGTCCAAGTTGCCTTTCCCTGGAAAGAAGACCTTTAACAACCTTAGTCGCCAGTTCTTAGAGCAGCGGCGATCACAGCTGAACGAGTTCTTGCAGCAGATCCTGCAGCCTGATGTCCTAACGGCTAATCCAGGTCTGCGCGACATGGTGTTGCATTTTCTTGAGCCAGGAACCTATGAAAAGGGAAAAAAGCAGTTCGCAAGAACAGTAAGCTTTCTCGATGCTCTTTTTTTTTTTTCTGTTTTCTGCTACACAAATTCTGTGTTATCCATTGTGCTTGAGGTGTTATCACTAGTGATCTCCAGTAATACTGACAACCTGCTGTGGTGGCTTAGCAGCTATACTTAAAAGAGCATGGGTTGGATTCCTGTCCACAGTGGCCACATTTCGATGGGAGTGATACGCAGAAAACACCATTGTTCTTAGATTGAAATGGTCACCAAGAAAACTCGGAAAGCCGATATTGATTGGTAGCTTTCCATGAACGCATGCCTTGCAATAAGTTCGGAGTTTTCAAGTGTAACTGCGTGGAATTCAATTTTGCAGTAAACCTGTAAAAGGCTTCAGTTTCGTGTATCTTTCAGCTCTGTGAAGACGTGGCTAGTTTTCTTCCGTTTCCACGAGGTGGCGATAGTCGTTCCCGCTGGAACACAGTAAAATAAATGAAACCAGCAAAGTTGTCGAGCAGCACGCCGATACCTTAGTATATAACGACATGCTGGTTCTTTTTCAACTTCTTATTAGCACCTTGTGTTCTTGATTCTTTTATTTATTTATTTTTTCGTTGACACTGCTGTCAGTGTGCATGTGCGTGCGCTTATACATAAGCTAGGTCATTTGAAAAAAAAAAATTATCAGTTGCAGAACAGGATTTGTGTTTGTGTCTATGCGTTTATGTGTGCATGTCTTGCACCCTTCTGTGCGCTGCTCCTTCAAAAAAAAAAAAAAGCACTTTCCATTTTATGTTCTGCAGTTGCAAGGCTCTGTATAGCTAGGGCTTTCGAAGAGCAATACACCTGCTAGGAAAGATGAAGGGAACAGCAATGGGAAGGTCACGCATGAAATACCAAGTGAATTTGCAAGCCAGACAAGGTGATGCATGTCGCGAAGCAGAGATTGCAGTTGTGTATGTTGGTTTTAATGTGCACTTCGATGGTGATGTCGTCATTGATATTCTATGGTAGACTACGCTCAGTAATATGAAAATTGATGGGCACATTCACAGCGTGGCCTTTCATACCAAGCTGACCTCCACCTTGTCATATCTCTGCCATGTGCTAAACATCTTTACTGGTCATACACCTTCCCAGAATGGAATCACTCACAATATTTTTGTAGTTCCGCCAAACAGTTAGAAGCGTTCAAGTGACCAAGGAGTGAATTGTGAGGAAATCTGAGCTAGTTGCCGGGAATGTTTTCTGGAGATAAGTGAAGTGAAGGGAACGTCATCTTCGGTAGACTTAACAGTGAACAGCGGCCTCTTAATAAAGTTGCTGCGTAATTTAAACGACGGCCTTAAACATTATCGATTTCTTACTTGAATTCTGCACCTCTGTTGATCTCCCAGTAAACGTAACTTCTGTAAAATGAACATATTTATCCTGGTCCCTTCAGGTTTCGTTTAACGAGTCTATTGTATTTTAGTTTACGCAGTGAAGTCCTGCTGCTAGTAGTGATTATTCTCGCGTCACATCTGATACGCAGATGGGCTCTCTAGTCAATCCACTCAAGTCGTCGGTGCGAAGCATGGGCACGATGGTCAAAAACGCCCCTGAGAACCTGCTGGATGGTCTGCGCGAAAGCTTCACCAAGGTGTTGCGCAGTCGACCCACCGCTTCACCCGCGGAAGTCATCCAGGGCAGTGGGAAAGTGGGTGCTGGCATCGATGTTGAGGTAAGCTGATGTGGAAAAACCACTCACTGTCTTTTCCCTTCGCATATCTGGGTTAACCACAATCCAACCTACAGTTGATAACTGCAAAGAAAAGAAAATGGTTATACTACCGTATTTGCTCACATAGTTCTAGCACTTCTTTTCGTGGATAACCGATGAAAAGTTGGGGGGCACAAGAATTATGTGAGAAAAGTTTTTCGAGAAAACGTTAGGAGCGGCAGAGGGAGAAGTAACGCAGTCGTAAATTGGGATTCTCACGCTAGCAACTAACTACAAGCTTCTCAAGCTACTCACCAACACTTACAATTACAGTAAAACCACGGGCTCAACACAAGGCAAGATTTATTTGAGGCACAAAAGCTGCAAGCAAGTAGTGGAGAATTTCGAAATACTGTATGCAAAGCTTGCAAGCGTAGCGTTAGCGCTCAGGAGCCTGCAAAAGGTTAGCATACGCATCAACCTTGGGCTGATGGCCATCTCACACGGAATCGTCCGCAGTCACCTTCTGGTAAAATAAAGTTTTACCATCCATCGCAGTCTTGAGCACACTGAATGCGCGGAGCATCTTAGTGGCTTTCAGCTGCCGGTGCTGCCATCGCCTGCAGAGAACAGAGCTCATCACCTCCAAAGTGCCTACCGGCGGCCCTGTTTCCGTTGTTTAGTGCATGATCAATTACCTTTAACTTGAAAGCAGCCATGTAGCTTTCGTATTGCCCCCATAACGTAACCACAGAACGGACACAACGTACACTAACAAGCCACAACGCACACTTGCTTCTTTGACTTGGCTTGGCTTAATCTCTTTCGTTACCACGCCTATTCAAAGCGATCACCGATGATCGACACTTAAGATCGTCGATTTCAGCATGTTAAATTTGTTTCTCGTGCACCGAGCCGTGTACTCAGATTTGGGTGCACGTTAAAGAACCCCAGGTGGTCTAAATTTCCGGAGCCCTCCACTACGGCGTCTCTCATAATCATATAGTGGTTTTGGGACGTTAAACCCCACATATCAATCATCAATCTCGTGCACCGAGCACTCTTTAGTAGTCAGTCCAGCCACTCAACTTTCAGAATAGATTTAAATTTGCGCGTTTGGGCAACATAGTGATCTTTACAGACCTTTGTGCGAACCAGTGTGCTTGTATTGTTGGAAAAGTGCACTAGGCTGGTGAACTTGACAAAAGTGCGTGCCCCTCGTGTATATATAGGAATGCAAACCTCAGTGGAGCGAGGTGGCTTATGGAATGAACTTCTCTAATTCGCTAGATGAAATAGCGAAGTTCATTGTACATCTGATTTGCAGAGGGATTATTCAAATCACAGGCATCCATCTATACTGGAACACCTGGAAGCTCTTATCCTAAGAAAACAAAAATTTGAGAAATGTGTACGAGTTCACTTGTGTTTCACGAAAAACCAGGCAATGCTTGGCCGCATAGCTTGAGCAACAAAGCAGCATCTTGGTTCTGATTTTCTTCGTCCATGTGAATAGAAATGTTTTGTACAACATTTAATGTTTTTATACTCCTTCTGGGTCATTTTTCTTTAAAATGTATATTCTGAATTTTTTGCACATATAATGTTTTTTCTTGCACCGTTTACCAGCTGGCAACTAAAATTACATACTTTTTATATTTTTATTCATTCTAAAATATCTTAGTTTCCTTAAAACATGTATAGTTTGGAAAAAGCATTTCCTTGTCCAAAGTTTCGTTGTGCAAAATTTTCCACACTGCACTGCGTGCTGGAGTACTTTTCGAACAGGCAAAAACAATCTTCCAAAGACACATGAAAAATAACCATTTTCGCGCAATAACGAAGGAGTTAAATTGGGTTGGATAGGATTGGGTTGGGGCTCTGTACGTTGATGTTACGCTTAATGCTCAAGTGATGGCACCAGGCTGTTGTGCACTATCACCATCAGTGGTTGGGAGGAGCAGATTACATTCTGGCTGCAATTTTCGTGGGCGCGATAATTACTGTGGGCAGAAAAAAAAAGTATTTTTTAGGTAATTTGGGGGTGTTAATTATGCAAGTGCAAGGATGCAAGGATTACGCGAGTAAGTACGGTAGTTATTGTACCTAACAAAGTAGACCTCAAGTGATTTCTGATAATATGAGAGTTATTTAATTATTTATTTGTTTGTTTATTTATCTATTCATTTATTTGAAATTGCCTTACCAGCCTGTTGGGCATTGTGTAAGGGGTGCTCTAAAATCGCATTGTTCAACACAAAATAATGAGGTATCAAAGACCAGAAGTAAACAAGCTGTACATCTTACTGAAAAATGCCTAATGTGTACATAATAGATAAGACGTACAAAATAAATACATAATGCATATGTAATACTGACACGATCATATATATAAATTTATATATACAAATCTATATGCAAATCATATAAAAATCCAGCCTTTTTTGGGGGCGACCTCAGTGAAAATGTGCAATTGGTAATGGAATGCGTCAGGATCGGACAATGAAACCATGTTGTTGGGCAGGTTATTCGATAATCTAACCACATGGGGAAGTACTAATGAATTGAATGCTATGTGCTTGGAATGAAGGGTGAATCTAGCAAATCTATGTTATGTTTGATGTTATTTCTGTGTTTGCATAACTTCTCCTAGAAAGCTTTGCAAACAAAGGTCACTTTTAGAATATTGTGGAAGCTTTAGTTCATCTGAATTATTTACATGCCTACAAGTAGAGAGCTTTGTCACAAAAGTTAGTATAGTCAAATCCCGCTACAACGAAATTGACGGGACACGTGAAAAAATTTATTGTAGCAATATTACATCTATAGACCACAATATTAAGTAAGATCTGAAGATTGTGACTCGTCTGATAGTCCCAGCAAGCGCATGCAATAAATTCTTGCAAACTCATGGTATAACTGTCAGTTCAAGCGCACTAATAAACAGAAAGGAAGAGAAGACAAGCGCTTTCTCGCAACTAAACTGTTTATTAGAAAGGGCAGAATATATATATACAGGCAATTGAAAAACTCAACGCATGCGTGTGCAGGCAAAAAAGTATATCCGTGGCACATCGAGAACACAGGGTAAAAGAAGAAAGATTATCTCGGAAAATAATCTAGAAAAACAAATTCCTTATCGTGCAGCAAAACCAAAGGCTGGCTGACGCATTGTTCCCCTCTTTTTCTTATGTGAAAAGCTCCGATTTTTAGCGAAATTTTTCTCTGAAATATTGATGTAGCACTTCAAAATCATTTTTCAGGACTCCCGGTTCGCGTATTCAGATACGTCGACGATTTTCTTGTGTTCACTACGTGAACACAATTTTACACGAGATGTTGTGAATATTCTCAAAATTTTTAAAGAAACAGGCAAGAAACTAAACTTTTCTTTTGAATTGCTACGTCTAAATCAACTGCAATTTCTAGATCTTAACTTGGTCTTTGAACCCCAGCATGTTTGCTGGTATTATTGTCCCAGATCCGTAAAGCCTATACTCAAACAGGTCGAGCCACTCTAAGCTGGTGAAGAGAGGTATCGTTACTACGAGTTTGGGTTTTGCTCTAAAAAAGTCCTGTCAACACAGAATGAAAATGAGCTTTCATAGTCAAGTAAAGAAACTAGTACAAGCAGGGTATCCTAATGATGTCATCACGTCCGTTTGTAACATGATTAAGAAACTTAAGTTTGAAGGGAACCACTCGGGGCGTCGTGAAGAGAGTAGAAAAGGTAGGAGGATAGCAGTGATTCCTTACCTTCATAAGACATCGCATGAACTTAAGCAACTCGCTAATAGATATAAAGTCGGTGTGCTTTTCTCAGCCAAAGGCAAACTGCAGTCTATTTGTTCATGCATGCGCAGAGAGTTTCTGCAATGTCGCATGAAACACAGCAAAAAGTTCGTGGACTGCGCAATGGGCGATGTTTACATGACTCCTTTTAGCTGTGGTAAAGTGTACATCGGTCAGTCGGGAAGATGCGCCAATGTTCGTCTCAGAGAGCACGATTCTTCTTTGAAATCTTTGGGTGCATCGCATCTCGTGGCTCATTGCAGAGAGTGCGGTTGTTATCCTCTTTTTCAGGATACTGAAATGGTTTTTCGGTCTAAAAATAAATTAACTCGTGAGTTGACAGAAGCTTTTCACATAAGAAAAAGAGGGGAACAATGCTTCAGCCAGCCTTCGGTTTTGCTGCACGATAAGGAATTTGTTTTTGTAGATTATATTTCGAGATAATCTTTCTTCTTTTACCCTGTGTTCTTGATGTGCCACGGATGTACTTTTTTGCCTGCACACGCATGCGTTGTGTTTTTCAATTGCCTGTATATATATTCTGCCCTTTCTAATAAACAGTTTAGTTGCAAGAAAGCGCTTGTTCTCTCTTCCTTTCTGTTTAGTCGTGCGCTTGAACTGACAGTTATACCATGTATATCCAACTAGCCCAATTTTCGATTCTCTTGCAAACTCGGATGTATCTGGTCGCAAACTGAGTGAATATATTTTCTCTCGTATAACATGATCAAAATATACTGGAAAATTTGGAGTTAAAGTCGGAGTGCGGGTTATACAAGCATTTTGGTGCACAAGTCGGTTTCTTGGCAATGCAAGGAAGGCGGCCTTGCGCCAATACGTGGGTAGTTTTCTCTTCCTCCCGCGGTTTGCGGGCGGGGGTGCCAGTTATATGCCAAGGAGGGTCATGCAGAAGAAAATACGATATTTAGACGACCCTTAGAGTGTGCCGAGAGCGCAGCGCTGTGAACGAGCGTGCCGAAGCTCCGCACTACCGTGGCCACAAGTGATTGACAAGAAAGCCATAAAATTTCGTGTCGTTTTATCGCATTATTACCTTTAATCTACGGCTGTGTTAGCTGTGCACCTTCGGATAGTATTCAGTATCGATGATCATGATGATAGCGACCATGACTCGATGCGCAGCGGTTACGGAAAACAGTAGTTTTGTTTTCAGTCTCTGCGCGCTGCACTGGCCGTGCGCGTGACTTAAAAACTACGTCGTTGCTATCGTTTTCTTGCATCGTTACGGCATAAAGTATTGGGTTCAGTCAGTGCGCGTTGACTGCGCGGGTACTTTCATGATCACCCACAATCGCGTTCGACAAGACCGAATTTCGCAGCGGTTGTGGCAGAATGCTGTTACACTGGGACTAGGTGCGTGCTGCTCGCGGGTGCACCTTCACGACGCCGTGGTTTTCATTCACGATCACAGGGCTAGTGATGACGAGCGGTAGTTTTGCTTTGAGCGCGACTTAAAAAACATATGGTGGAAGTGCTTGAATACCGCGATTCTGCCGCAGCCCGCACGTGCATCAAACCAACTGCTAGCATGGCGGAGGATGGGCGAGCTGTCGTTGTGCATCTCAATGGCAATAAATTTATATGGATGTGCATGTGATGGCACAAAGCGTGTCTGCGAGGAAGAGACATGATTTTCGCGATGCGGCCATGCGCTCACAAGCCACCAAGAAATGGCCGAGTTTGTAACGGACTTTCGCGGCGATACGAGGCAAGTTCGTTTTGCTTATGGGGTAGTACTTGCTAAAACTTTTTGGAAAAGGAAATATTGAGGAAAAGTATTTGTTGTGATGACATATTTTTTTTATGGGTGGCTGATGGGGAATTGAAAATTATTTGTTGCTTATTCAACACCAGAGCCCTACTCCAAAAACGTCCATGTTTATTTTTACCGCTCGTGCCCTCCCATTCTTCTTTCTCCTCTGTTCTCCTGCTTGTTGTCGCGTGGCCGCAATCATCCGCAACATACTCCCAAGAGGCCAAGACGATCACGAGGCAATCTCGCTAGTCCAGATCACTTATCTCGCTGACTTGCCTCCAAAATATATGCCAACTGAACCAGTCGCTTTCCTTGCCTTTCCAGAAGCTAGTCACCCTAAAGCATGCGCGCAATATCATTCTTTCCTGGGTGCACTGACCACCCCATTCAGCTATTGTAGCAATGAATGTGCGCTACCGTCAACACAGGAACACACTTCGCAGCTCCCAACAGCGAGGCCTTCGACGTTCAAGCTGTAGCACAAATGACCATCTCAATGTGTTTCCGGTCAAGCGGGTGATTCGGTATGACCAGTCTTCCCACCAAAGATCTCCCCCGAACTTCCACTGGACGACTAGTTGGCCCTGGAAGTTCGGGTGAGATGTAGCGTATTCAACACCCGAGCCCTACACCAAGAACATCTATGTTTATTTCTACTGCTCGTGCCCTCCCATTCTTCTTTCTCCTCCATTCTCCTGCTTGTTGTCGCGCGGCCACAATCATCCTCAACATTATTTATTGTGGCGGCAATTTCGTTGTAGTGAACTTCGTTATAGTGAGATTAGGCTTTACATCAAATGAGGGACTATAATGTTTGCTTTTATACGTTGGCTTGCTATTCATATGCAGAGTTGTTTGTACACAAGGTGTGTTTTATTACGAAATACACGGAATGCAGTTAAGCTAAATACTTGTGATTTCTTTTTTCCTTTGCCCCTCTTACTCTTTTCTAGACACAAGACAACATTCCTCTGAGAATTATGCTGCTGCTTATGGACGAAGTGTTTGATCTAAAAAGCAAGAACCAATGGCTTAGGCGACGAATTGTGGTCATTCTAAGGCAAATAATCAAAGCCACATTTGGAGACACCATAAACAGGTTCTGATCACCTCTTATCATTTTATCTTTCTCATTTTCTGAGTTTGTTTTTATTCGTTTTGCTCTATCTGCTTTTTCATTTCCTTTGCGCTCATTTGTAACCGGTATTTTCCTGGTTGCAGAAAAATTGTCGACTATGTAGAGTGGATGGCATCTACTGAAAAAATCGCTGTATACATCACAGCATTCAAGTAAGTGGTGCTGAACATTGCCATGCTTAATTAAGTTATGCTCCTGTCATCCTTTCCCGTCTTGTCAAAGGCAAAAAAAGACATCTATCGAGTAGACACACTGCCTGTCAGGCTAGCTGGGAAGGCGGGAAAGAATGCTTACTATTACTAACTGCAGATGGCAGAGTTGAAGCACAACCAGAGCAAAGACAGAGTTGTGGCCTGGGGATGATATTTTGTAAATTTTTTAAGCCATTTTTTTCGTGGTGGGAAGCTCTAAACAGCACAAACACAGGAACAGGAGAGGTGAAATGATCCACTTACCCTATTTAAAGTTAATATAGCCCAATTTGTACTTCTAATTTATGACATTCTCCTCATTCAGCCCTCGCGACTGGCTGATTCCATCAATAATGTGAATAGACTACCACTCTGACCGGTGACGAAGGGCAAAAAGCCCATATAGGCGTTGACCACCGAAAAGGAATCGCTTCAATAAAGTGAAATTCAAGGTGTGGGCTATACGGGACCATATACATTAAATGGCAAGGTATTTCCTACAGCTTGGTGAGAGAAGCTCAGGGCATGTTTGTTGTCCATCGTCCTGTGTTTTCATCGTCGCTTTCAATCCCTGTTTTCTCTATGTGGTGTAAAAGCTAACTGATAGCACAAGGAAGCACAAAAGTGAAGATGCACATCGTAGTGCTGTCGCTGTGGTGTCCAGCTCTTTAAAACAGTATTGTTATGTTTGTTTTCTATAACTCTTACCTTTACTAATGCAGCAGTGATTTTACTTGAACTGTTCAAAAGTAGGCCCTACATGGGTACATTTGTTTGAGGTGGTGTCTTTGCGGACTCTATGCATTGTGTTCTTGTGTGTCAGTGTGAAGGTACCACCCATAGTGTAACAGGCTTGTTGCATGGAGCTTTCTTTTGTACACACTAATGCATTATTGTTGTCACATTAGACTTACTGGTTTTAAGGGTAGTCCAGTTTGCAAAGATTGCTTCATTACTTAGCTAGCCAACAATAACAAAGGCAGATTAGTTGCAAATATGGCAAAGTGATTGACTGTGCAGTAGTGCTACAGAGCATAACGATAATTATCTTGATTCTCAGTGGGAGAATATGGTGGCCATGTAAGTTCCCTGAATGCCAAATCAAATGATGTGAGGTTGGAGGAACACCACCGTGTCTAGATACACATCGACGGGATTCAGTTGTGGTAGCTTTTGTCACTTGAATTGGGGAGGGCGCTTCGCTGCTTGCAGGGACGCCCTGTGGCCGAATGGCTTTCCGGCTGAGACGCGACCAGAGAGGGACCAGAACACCAAGATGAGAACGAGGGTGGCAGCCAAGATGATCATGCTGTGCAGCCTCACAGGTATGTGGTCACGCTCCTCTTCTACTCGTGCTGCCAACTCCCTCAACTTGCTCGCAGACTCCCAAATTTTGAGCTGTCCTCCTGATCGTACAGGCATGACCACGAAGCTCGCAAAAAAACAGCACAAGCACTTCCACGACAAGAAAATAGTTGTAATTAATCACATCAGTTCTAAAACTTTTCTGATTGCGTCCAAAACACTTGTCACTTTAGCCATGGTACAGTGGTATAATGTGGAAAAGCGCAATAAAATTAGCAAGGGGTTATCAGCTGCCTCAGCACACATCAGAGATTATTCCTTAATTACACTAGCATGCTAGTGCCACACAATTACTAGTGTGGCCCTCGAAAACAGTAAAATATGTACACCAATTTTCTTCTTTCATGTTGTGATGCTTCGAAAGAGATCCTGTTAGTTTCATGTCCCAATGGTAACTTGGTGTTGTTGTACAGGGCACTTGAATATTGGTAAATTATAAGTGCACAGCTGCATAATCAGCTGGACCCATAGAATTACTATATAGGTTAACTGGCTGTAGACTATCCTAGCTTAGGCGTTTAAAAAAAGTGTGCGTCATTAAAACACAGCGTTCCAAGTTGCTGCTTGGAGTACTTGATGACTTGCCCGTGCATACTAAAATTCCTACATATTTTAGCAAGCTGCAAGCAATCAAATTGGACCATCCATCTTTGTTTTCATCAAAAGAGTGGAATGCTCGCAGTAATGAAGCATGGTGAATCAGACCTTATGCCGACTCCTAACCTGTAAATGAGCAAATTGTTAATTGGGCATGTTGGCTTTCCAGTAATATCTTGTTCTGAACTCCCTAAAGCAAGGAGGGAAATGGAGCACATTACAGAAATGCCAGTCCAAGCTGTGTGGCTAGAATCTCGCATGCACTTTTTTGGTGAGATGCCAGAAATGCAAAAATTTTCTTTTTCTTATCACGTTGCTCTACCTTGCTTTGTGAAGAAAGCACTTTTTCTTGCCCTTGTGTCTCCCTTTGCCACACTGCCCTCAGTGCATGCGGGGACTGGGCCTAGCTAAAGTTATTGTGTAATGGAGTTCATTTGTGTGAACCAGATGGAATTTCTGTGCAGTCTCTTCTTATTTTGAGCACATACTCACATGGTTAGGTCTGTGAATCAAAAGTCCCTGCATAGAAGAGCTTTTCAGGACAACCAACTTTCAAACTATTGAAACCTGTCTGTGCTTAACAGTGACAAAAAAAAAGTCTCTTTTCTCTCACATGCCCTCTAATATCTGCAGACGAGCTGAAGCACATCATCGGTAGCGACACGACGCGGCGAGGTATGCTGTGCGTGTTTGAGATGTTCCAGCACGCACGGCTCAATCGGAGGCTCACCTATGTCCTGCTGGAGGGCTTCCTGGCCACCCTGTTCCCCAACAACCGCTTCATCGAGCTGTTCCGAAAGATGCACGCCGAGTCGCCCACCATATCAACCACCTCGCTGTCTTCCACATCCAGCCGGGATGTCATCAGCATCGGCGCTAGGCGCATCGAGGTGCGGTGACGTCTGTCCCATGTCACTGCACGTCGGTCGACGTCATCAGTTGTTACTCTCTACGTCCCTCGTTTCCTCAAAAGCTCTTTTCCCTTCCACCCATGTCTCTGTTGCTCATTTCATATCACCGTATCTTTTGTTTGTTTGTTTGTTTTTCCTTCTGATGTGACGTCCATGTTGGCAAGCAGGGAAGCCGTCTTTACCCTGCCATGCAAGCTTGGATTGAATTTTGTGATAGCTCGCGTGCATCTTTTGCAGCGAGCCTTAAATGTGAATTCGCCTGGGTGCGAGATCTTGCCTCCATTCTTACGATGCTGCAGAATGACAAACGTGCCTGGCACTTCGTTGTCTCGCAAACATTGGCAATAGTGTAGTCACGGATATTGCTGGATCTGTGAACAGTCAAGAGTCAACATTGATGCATCACCTCTAATTTTTTTTTTTGACACTTAAAAGTATAAATCACAGTCCTCTCGTTAATTTTTCTCCCCGTGATGATCTAAGACCAACTTGTATCGTGAAAGACTGTTAGCGATGGACTCCAAGACTTTTCAGCATGTTCCAGAACTTGATGGTTTCTACGAGAACAGTGCATAAGTTTTTTTCTTATACCAAAGTTTTTATCCTACTACCAGAGTTTCTTTATCTCCTTTTTTTTAACATCATTTACACTGTTGCTGCTCTCTTTGTGGGTTAAATAGTTTAACTGATAGTCTGGAGCACGTTGTATAGACCTAGTTATGTGCAGCTCCTTTTGCTCCCAAGGTGATATTTTGGAGGAAACCTGGCTCTGACGTGTCCGTCATCACCATGTCAGGTTTGTCGCATAACGCATGCATGTTTTCGTCATTTAGGCACTGTACAGTTATTCTGCACCCTCCGCCATTCTCTCTTGTTTTTTTGGAATCGTTTATATCACCTCAAAGTTGTGCATCCCATGTTCCAGATAATCGTTTTTGCGACTGATGTTCGGGAGTGCGAATGCTCTCAAAACACGAAATTTTCTGTATTATACATTTTATATATATATATGTACACGCCTGTGCGACTGATATATACCACATTTTTTTTATTCACTATGCTGGATAAGAAATTAAAGTATATATACATATTTTCTTGTAATTTATGTTCAGCTTACTTTATTTTTTTCCCCTCGGTATCATGTTTGACATGCAAACAGGAGTAAACTAAGAAATGACGCCGGTATTGTTCATGAAGCTACTCATTTCTCAAAGGTGTCGATGATCTCACCAAAGTACTACAGTGTGTTTCACCAAGATTTATGGTGAGTGGAAGAACGAAATGATTGTGGTCGTGTGCAACTTTTCTTTAATGTAATAGCATTCATGGTAAACCATTTAACAAAACTGAGCAATGGTATTTCCTCAATATTGCTGCTGCCTTGCAGAGCTTTGTTTCCTGATCAGATGTTGAGGCAACTGTCTGCTGTCTTTTGATGATCATTGCTTCAAAGCCCTGGAAAGTCGATTCAGAATAGTACCATACATGTCATAACTTGTTGTTGCTACCCGTTCAGTTATGTTAGTCCCAACAGCTTGCAAGGGGGTGTTGTGATAAGGTTTTCTGAAGTAGGCAAAGGAAAGCTAAAATTTCCTTGTAGATACGATGCACCAGCCTCTGTCGTCACTATCACCCTCTCAGACTTCACAAATTTTTACTTTGTTGGTTAAACTTAACCCATGCTTATGAATAGTACTCGCACCGCGCGTTGGTATGTTTTAGTTGGTGGAATGGGAACACTTGAATGATTAATACAGCCCAGGTAGTTTCTATTCAAACCAAGTCTTGAACTGTAACAAGCAGTCGTTAAAATTCAATCGTACTTATCTCGCTTAAATAGTCTTCTTTGCATGAACTTCTGGTGCAATTCAATTTATTCTTTCGTGACGACACCGACAACACTAACCTGAACAATCTCTCAAATGATGCAGAGTCGAATGAGCTGAGCCGTTCGTTGAGGAAGCATGGTGTTGACAATATTGAGAGAAATGTGTCGAACATACTTCCCACACACGTTTTTATGGTCACATTACGGAAATCTTTTCAGTCATTCCAGTCACATAAGAGTTTTTCAAAACATGTGTGCGTTGCCTGTTTTAAACAGGAAATTAGAGGTACTAAAATCACGAGAGAGTGTTTGAACATGCTTGGCTGTGTTAAAGTTGCCCTCAATCAATTTCCAGTGACTGACAAGCGTCGTTGTCTGGCAGGTTTGGCAGCCCACATTCTGCTGCTCTTAACACGGCACACACATTCTCGGGCTAGTATGGGGCTAGTATGGAAACTTGTTCCTCGGGGACATCACACATAACAAGGCTGCAAGGTCTCGGAGTTTCACATACGGGTTTTTCTGTCATTAAAGGTGTTGTTGTCTCCTGTTGTGAGAATGCTGTGACTGCATTTGAAATATGAATTGCTGGCAATGCCAGCAGTTCTGCTCAATATAAAGTCCTTGCAAGTAATGGAGATGGAGCACAATTCATGCGAGTGCATGGCTACAGGCCCATATCAGCCGTACGTGGTGTCCCAGCTTACATTTGTGCAAAAAAGAATGGTGCAAGCTGTTGAACTCCTAATGGTACCGCTGGCAGAGTTCACTCACATGAAGATTATCCGTTCACTGTGATAATGCTATTAAACATGCTTCTTCTCCCCCGAATGGGCAAGATTTCAGTCACAGTGCCAGAAACTGTGGCAGTTACATATTTTTGAGTGAACAGACTAATGCATTCCTAAGCATGATTTTAAATATGATGGTAAACCATATTGCAAAGCCAACCAGCACTAGGATCATTTGGTAAAAGCGGGGTTAGGGGGGTGGGGCATGAGTACTTGTACTTCTCATGAGTGCAAGAAAGCACTTAATTACTGGTCATGGAGATGGGGGGAGTAAATTTTAGGAATGAGCTCTAGCCTCTTCCCTCTTTCACTACACTGTAGACTAACTCTTGCCAACTAAACACCATTGCTATGGCTACATGTTTTCATCAGAAAAGTCTTTGCCAATTCGTTATATATGCCCGTATTAGTATTATATCATTCTTTATTTCTATTAGTATTATACCATTAATCTTTCTAATAGCGAAGGACAGCTTACAGGTCTCCAACCTCCGTCTTGACTATTTCTGGAAAGACGGTTGTCGCTGACAGTACCTCTGAGGAAACATTGTGTCATTCATGAAACTTATCAGATTAATTATCTAATTAGAATATTGCACAGATTTTACCTAGGCACCATGAGCTCATAGGATGTTGTTCTTGATCATGTAATACAGTGACTTTTAACTCTTAATGCTGACTTTATTCTCTGCTTAAGAACCACTGTGGTAATTGCTGAGGAACCTCTGTTCCTTAGCGATTACATGCAGTACAATGGATAATGTCTTCTACCACCAGGCTTACCACAAACAGCTCATGCTTTTCCAATGGACAGACGCTGCAAAACTTGGTAGAAACAGGGTGGCAGTTTAGCTGCGTACCTATTTGGAAAATTTGAAGGCTTTCTTGCCTCTTAAGCCAGTTTGGCTTTGTTAAGGGCATTCAGTGCGGGTAGTCCAATTGTAACAGCTATGTCTATCAAAAGTGACTGCGTGAGCAAGACAAATTTAGCAAGTGTCCCACTGTATTCAACTTGAGTGTGGGGTGCAATGTTGATAGGCAACGAACACAATAGGAACGGAAATTAAGCAATGAGAAGCTTTAACACTTTTCATTGATACTAGGCATGCTTAGGCAAGGAAAATAGAAACAGTTTAGGGACCACCAAAAGGTTCCTGCTGTCAGGACATTGCTTTGCGCAGGTGATAAAAGTACCTATAGGCTATTACCATAAGTACTTTACAAGGCATAAGCTACAATAAAGTTTTAATCATTATGATGTTATCATTGTTGTTAGGTAGGAAAGACAAATGCCTATTATAATTTTAAGGTCACATTTCTGTGCCTTAAATTTTTAGACTGCATCAAGCCAGGCTTCACTCGCCAACTTTATCTAATTACTGCAGCTGTGCTTTCAGTACCAGTGTCAGGTGGGCACTCTCACTTGCGATCGAACCTAATCAAAATTGAACTTGTCAATTGTGCTTGGCTATCCTGCACAAGCTGCAAAATGGAGCCAGTAGCTGTTGCAGCAATCAACCCTGATTAGTCGATCATGGGTTACACTTTTCCACTTAGATGTGCAGCTGTCCTTTTCTTGGAGCTGCAAAGTTATTTGCTTCAGTGAAATCATAGACATGGGATGATTTTATTGTGTCGTGTCTAAGATGTGGAATAGGCCAGACAAATTTGGCCCAAAAAGGTATAATAGTACACTTGAACGGCGATGGGTATGCTGAGAAGGAAAATTCGGAATTGATATGGTGTCGTGAGCCTAGTAGGAATTATTTCCCTGTTTCATTTTCCAAAAACGTGAATCACAGCTCATTACAAGAGGTAGTCATTGTACATTCTATCTGTTGGCCACCTATGTTCAGTGGGCAGACTTTTCATTGGACAAGTGCAGTATAGTGTACTGCGTCTAGCATTTTCTCTTGCCATTTTTCTTTTTTGATATCGCAGTGAAATTTATATATAATATGCTAGGTCAGAGCCATACTGTCAATAAAAATTCAGTTATGCATCTTGTGTTTAAAGAGATGCGAGTGATTTCCGTGCTTGATACTACTTTTCATGCACCTGTCAGGTGAACATGTAAAATCGAAATAATGCAACTAAGCTGCACAGTAAACATTTGCGGCCACATGTTCAGTTAACAGCTGTCAGGCATGTATCGCTTTCAGTGCATGTAGGTTGACGAAGTCCGTAGATGTCACGAAAGTAGCGGCATGCTTTGCGTCGAGGTTACTCGGCTAGTTTCGTCATCGCATAACGATGCCTTTTGCTTCGTCAATATATCGCAGTTGATGTTGCATCATAGGAAATTGAATGTCTCTTAGAAAGTTGCCGATCGAGACTTCACATGGTCCAAGTAGTTTAGTATGCGATGTGACGAACCATGCATTTAACATGCATTGTGCTGCACACAACAGATGTGTTGATTGTACAGGGTCAACCATAATTTGAAATCTAATGCTGATTATCCGAAATCACTAGTTTGTAAATGCTAACATTGGGCATTTATCAGTTTCTGTAAACATACAGTGAAATAAGTTAGAACTATGAAGTTTAAAAAAGAATGATTTTTTTTTTCGTTCCTTTTCTTGTGGTATGTATAGTCTGACAGTTCAACTGTTTCACTGTACGCTTGTAAAAGCTGAAGATATATATGTCTGTGCCGTTATTCTTTAGGACACATCATCAGCACTTTGCAGATTCACCACAACCCATGGCCATTGTTGCATTATAATAATTCTGTTGGTACGTGGCAATTTAACGGGTAGTAGCCTTCAAACTATTCAATTCCAGCTCAAAATTATCATTTTTTAGATAGCTGTGAACTCTGTGATCATATTACGGGGCCTCAGTTCCTTAAACATGCTACGAGATATTTTTTTTTCAAACGACATATGAGCACATCTGCCAAGTATAGGGAATCTGGGAGGTCTCAACTTTACATAGCCACTTCAAGATGGAATTCGCGTGATATCGGAAGCTTCCTGTAAATGTATCAGTCGCTCTAGATGCACAATGGTTGCAAGCTAGTGTGAGACTGTCACATTATGTGGTGAGGCATATGCTGCCACATCCATCATTCTTAAATTTGTGTTTGTGCTCTGATGTCATTTTTCTATAAATACACGATACCGTAACGCTCAACTGGCCTTGTGCCCAGTGTTCCTAATAATCTCGGGTGGCATGTTATGACCATTTTACAGTGCCGATCTAATAATGTGTAAACAGTTTCTGACGATACACAATCACAGTCTGAAGTTTGCTAGACATAGATACGAGACACCTTGGCACATGTTGATGTAATAGAGTGTGTCCCCACTTGGCTCATGTTTTAAACCGGTAACTGTAAACTAACACCTACTTAATGTATAATTAGTATTTTTTTTTTGCTTTCAAGAAATTGGGACCCCTGTGCTGTGATTACTGAGTGAGCAGCTACCCGATAAAGTGAAAATTTTGGCGCACCTTTTGAAGCATAAAAAGAAACATTATTTGCTGGGAAGCATGGCCGCTAAGCTTCTAATCTTAATGTCTTAATCTTAATGGTAGTCTGAAAGCATGTGCACTTATTATTATTGCACTGTTGTCCTCACTTAAAGTATAAATGTTGCTTTTACACTAAACTTGCACCTTATACAAAATTGGTGCTGACTAGTAGATTATCCTACTTTGTCTGTCTTGATTAAGGCGAATTCTGTGTTCCCATTTGTGTGTCTGCAGCAGCCATTTATGTGTGAACTCATTCAAAACTCCTGGCACCTACTTCAAGGAACAGCTTGAATAAAAAAACCAAATGCCTTTTTGCCTAAAATTAATCTACAGTGATCAAAACAATGGTTATTACTACAGCCCACAATTAGGCAAGCGGTTTTGTCTTCATCAAGCCATCATCTGGGCCCGTTGTCTTGTCATGCATAATAGTTTTTATGGAAGTCATGGTCAGACTTCGGAGAGCATTGATGGCTGTGGAATCTAAGTGAATACAAGCAAAACGTAGTGTCGTAGGAACTTTTGCTGAAAGTTAGCACCTTTGGTATCACTCGCATTCATCTTCCATTCTCCGCATCTCTCATAAAAAATGTCACTTCCTTTCTTCTACATTCTACATTCTGTTCAGTAAGTGATGTTCCAAATCAGCATGATGGCTTATTGTGGGGATAGTCAGACTACAGCGAGCTGTGATCAGTTCTGTCTGCGGTATTTTCTAAAGCAATCGACCTTGATTTTTTCTTGTATGGGTGTATATGTGTCCGTTTTTTTTTTTTTTTTTGCTTCCTTGAGGTAGGGCGCTTCGAAGCATTGTGTTTACCACTGTGCCGCTCTTGTACTATACTGTATTATATTTTTCTAGCTGTGCGTGCCTTTTTTTCTTTTTAATTGAAATTTTAGTCGCACGCTGGAACGTGTGATTGGTAGGTCAAGTTGCAAATGAAGTGACACATGAAAACCTGCGATGCTCCGCATGCCAAGAACTGTCTTTGCACAAAGACTACGGGATTCCCATTTATATGGTGTCCTTGTGAATAAAAATAATGGAAACGAGCATCCTTGTGGAGGTTTCTTTCACATTGCTAAAGCCTCATTTTTGTGTCTGCATATAAATTAAGAGGCCCCCTAGCTACTTTTAAAAAAAGTTTCGCCAGCACACTGACGATTTGCCAGTGTGCTGGCAAATCGCCAGTGGCGATTTTCCACTGGAAAACCATGGCAACAAAAGCTAAGACCAGTCAACTAGAAGAACGAATGGTGTTACGTGATATTTGTTATGTATTCTCTGCAGCCGTGCAGAGTTTTCTGCGCCTCTAGGTAGCAAAGCACAGCTTCGAGATTTATCTGCTGGCTTAGGGTAGGGTTTCCTTCAAGGTGCTGGAGAAAAGCTTCAGGCTCACTGGAACCGATGAAAATTGGTTAAATCGAGGGCGACCTCATATGGAACGAAAGCGAGCTTGAGGATGCGACGAGCGAAGGAGACGAGGAAAACGAGGGATAATGTTCTAGCGATTGCGTGCCAGTTACAAGTGTTGTTTTTCACGTTTCCCAGTACAAGCGAGTACTGCAGTTCAATAAAGGCAAGCAGCTCTGAAAACACGAATTTTTTTTTTCCTCTGCGTATTATGACCGCCCCTGCGATTGCCACCTTCCAATCTCTGGAGGGGGTTGGGGGTGTACCCGCGGTCATTACAGGAGTGTATATATGGTTGTCGAGTTAATTGAATGTACACCGAAATATTGTGTACGAAATTAAAAAACTTAGGCTAGTTTAAAACAATGTGGCTGATCCCCCTGTCTAGGAATCGCACGGGTGAAAGTGCTGCGCCATGATGCGCCAATCTGGCCTGCTGCGCCAAGCCGCGCCAAGCCGCGCTGGTGTGCACAAACGGCAGTTTGAGCGTGCAACGCCAAATTTAGTCGAGAGCTTTATCATCGACCGAGCAACACGCGTGTGCTGCACGAAGGACGCAACCGCGTCCATGTGAAATTCTGCCTGCATCGTATTTCGGATCACGCATGAATCTTGCGCCTCGTGAACACAATTCATGGTTCTTGTTAAGTTAATTGGCGTTTGTGTGCACACCTAATTATGTGACTCTTACGTATGGTTTAAAAGCAAAGCTGTTAGGGACACTATATAAAGACGGCGCTGCTGTTGCAAAAGCTCTCCGCACCACTGCCGAGCAACCGCCGAGCCCGTGCTGTTCTCGGTTGCTCGGCAACGGTGCGGCGAGCTTTTTGCAATAAACTAAAAACAAATTAGGAATCTGTGTCACCGGCGTAGCGATGACTGCGATAGCAACAATTTTTAATGTTATGGTGATGCTGCACGCGCTCCTTTCTTTCTATTTCTGTTACCTCACCACCATGCGTGTAACGCTGCCTTGCGCGAACCGCGCCCGAATGGCTGGGGACTATCTAGATAATCTTAGAACCCTCCGATGAGATTACGTGCAGAACGCGTACAGTACAGTTTCTTCTGTAAGGCCGCTAGCGATAACGCTAGAATCTTCCGATACCACATGTATAAATGCCACCGCGCTTTGCTACGTGGCAGATTATCGATGGCCGATGCTCTATGCTCGCTGCTATCAATCTACAGCGTGTATTGCTATACTAAGTGGTTCTAAGAGAGAAAGGAAGAGAAAAGTGAGCCCCGTAACTGTCTGCTTCAGCGAGCGACACCTCAACAGTAGCTCAGAAGGGATGGGGGTGAGGAGGGTTTCAAGGGTAGAAATAAAGGTGTAGAGAGAGAGAAAGAGGCGTGAGGTGGAAAGCCAGAGAGCGACGACAAATCGAGGGGATAGGAGAGATAGGAAATATGGAAACACGGTCACAGGAGTCCGAGGATGGGGCACCACTTGCGAGAGCTCTTGTCGGTGTTAGGAGGTGGCGTAGAGCAAGTCCAGTCGGTCATAGTTACACTGTCGTCGGAGGTCGGCGTCAGGAGATGACATATAGGGCGAGCCCATTCGGCCAGAGCTACGCTGACGGCGGAGATCGCGAGGGCACAACCGGTCGGCACGGAATCCAGCGAGTGACGTTTCGTTTTCCGGGCAGAGGTTAGCTCAAAAAACCCGTCACAATACGGAGGCTGACAGCTAAATTTGGAGCGGGGTCAGCCGTTCGGTGGCACGCTCGGCAGAAACGTGCCTGCTGCCGATCTTGTAGTTGGCATGTGTGACCACGCAGTTTTGAAGCCAGAATTATTTTTTGTTCACGTGTGTTTAACGTTATTCTATCGATGAAGGTCACATGAAGTTGCTGAGAGGTTCCCGCAATGGGTAGAACGTGTTTTGTTCTGAACTGCCGTTCTGGCTATCGGACTTGTGCAGAGCGTGTGCTTCTCTTCAAAGTGCCACCTGAAATTGATCTTTGGCATAAATATGTGAATTCTCATAGTAACATCTAGGCATGAACAACCGCATTTCTTTAGTGCGCTGTTTATGAAATAAATATTTGTATGGAGGAACAATAACACCATTGCTCTTGTGTGCTTGATATGAAATATTTCTGCGTTTCAAATAAAATTTAGATCGCGTTCTCATTGGTCTTGTGGAATGACTACCGGGTGCAGTCAAGCTATCTATGTATGCTGACAAAATCTGCGTCTGGGCTTCTGGCGTGACAAGACATCAGATACGCGCAAGACTTCAGAAAGCTGCGACGTTGGCATCAGCTAGTGTACCTCAATGAACAGGGTCTGAAGATCACGCCAGCGAAATGCGCATTGATTGCTTTTAGTCGAAAGCCAAAGAGACCATACGCTGTATCTATCGACGGTCAAGGCCTACCGTATGTCAGGACGCACAGATTTCTAGCCGTATTTATTGATTAGAGAACTCTGCCCCGCCACGGCGGTCTAGTGGCTAAGGTACACGGCTGCTGACCCGCAGGTCGCGGGATCAAATCCCGGCTGCGCCGGCTGCATTTCTGATGGAGGCGGAAATGTTGTACGCCCGTGTGCTCAGATTTGAGGGCACATTTAAGAACCCCATGCAGGTGGTTGAAATTTCCGGAGCCCTCCACTGCGGCGTCTCTCATAATCATATGGTGGTTTAGGGACGTTAAACCCTACATATCAATCAATCAATTGATTAGAGAACTCTGCTGGGGCACACTTATTGAAGAAGAGGCTGACAGACATTGCTAACTTATTCAAGTATCTTGAAGGAAAAACCTGGGGGATTTCAGTTCATGCAATGATATGCAATCGTACAAGACGCTTTTTCTCGGCTATTTGCGATACAGCTTGCATGTGTTGACCAATACCTAGCGAACCAGCATTCGCACTCTTGAAAGCATCTAGGCTCTGCCTCTGCAAGTTGGTCTGGGGTTACCGCGATGTTCGTTAACAGCTGAGACCGTTGCGATTGCAAATGACTACCTGTTTAAGACGCATATATTGTAATGGAAGTGCTCAGAGCAAACGTGAGGCATCTTACTCGCGCCCCCTCCCATCATATAGCCTCACTGCCAGAAGACCGACCTCGTACATGCCTCATTTTGCAAGACAGTCTTGACATATCGTACACACATACCCACGGGATACACAACCCTGTCCAGAATTGCAATTCCCCCATGGTGTATGACTAATCCACATGTGCAACTCACGGTTCCAGGCATACGGTCAAAAGCTCGGCTCTCATCTCCAGCGCTAAAGCGGCTCTCTCTTCCCTTGTTTAATGAGAAGTACAGTGAGCATAACCATTTATATACTGACGCTTCTACTAAAGTAGATGGATCTGCAGGGTCGGTTATCTTTCCTGCAACAGCGACAATGACAAAGATTTGGTTGTCTCACCAGGCGTCATCGACAGCTGCGGAACTTGCTGCTCTACGTACCGCAACTAGTGAAAGTCATTAAACACCAAGAAGCCAAGAAATGGAGCGTGTTCACGAACTCCAAAGCAGCACTACAGTGTTTGGTGTTCGATAAGACAGATATACTTGGGCTAGTTGGTGATTGGAAATCAATATATTTTCACAGTGCAAGACTACAAGTAGTTACGACGTAACTACAATAGAAGAGACAAGGACAGAAAGAGCGCTGACTTCAACTGAAATTTTATTAGTGAAAACGCTGGAAATATATATTCGTGACAGAACATCACCGCGCAATCGCGCAACCTATTCCATCACAGCAAGATTAATCATCATCTCATTATATGGTTACGACGCCGCAGCTCAGCACAAATTCACAATATATTGTGTCGAAGCCAGAAACTCTATTTCTTTTTTTTTTTTAGTCAAAGCAAGCGAAGGCATGCTGATACATCGATCGCCCAGTATTTGGATTTCATTGGCCTCCATAATTTCTCGTGTTAGCTGGTGATGGGGTTTGGCTACAAAAGTGCACTTTTCGAATTCCGGTCTGCAACTACAATCTCTGCAATGAATGCCCAAATGACCTTGCACAGCTGAGTATACATTGTAATGATGCTTCCTTTAAACGTTCATTCAGGCACCGGCCCGTTTGCCCAACATACATCTTGCCGCATGACAACGGGAGCAAATGAACGACGACTATCACACATGCTACGAATATCCTTCTATGTTTGATTGAGCAGCAGCTTCTTCGTGCGGACTGCACATTCACCCGTTTGCAGAGCGCTGAAAGCTTTTCTGGGGCAGAGAAAACCACCTTCACATCTACCTTATCACCTATCTTTTTCAAATTGTGAGAAATCCTATGTAGATAGCGAATCACAGCCACAAATCTCGTTAACTGCATTGCCGGGTGCCTATGCCGTGTTTTACATAAACACAATCGCGGAACTTCACTTTCCCGGACGCTGCATGGTGTGGGAGCTCGCCTTGTCCAGGAGTCATCGTTCCTCGGAGGACGCATCGCCGGCAACGTGCTACTCCGCGTAGTGGTTGCAACGAGACCGACCGCCCACTTCCAGGTGCACGGAGAACTGCGCGGAGAGTCGCCCTCGCAAAAGAACCACTGCTGGTATAGCAACCAGACCCAGTGCCTGCCGAAAAGCAGGTGGCAGAAGATTTGCGCGTGCAGAACTTAGAACGCGTTCACTTATAAGTCTGCCCAA